GCCTTGGGGACTGGAGCTGCAGTCCCGCTTTGGGGACTGGAGCTGCAGTCCCGCCTGGGGGACTGGAGCTGCAGTCCCGCCTGGGGGACTGGAGCTGCAGTCCCGCCTGGGGGACTGGAGCTGCAGTCCCGCCTGGGGACTGGTGCTGCAGTCCCGCCTTGGGGACTGGGGCTGCAGTCCCGCCTTGGGGACTGGAGCTGCAGTCCCGGCTTGGGGACTGGAGCTGCAGTCCCGGCTTGGGGACTGGAGCTGCAGTCCCGGCTTGGGGACTGGAGCTGCAGTCCCGGCTTGGGGACTGGAGCTGCAGTCCCGCCTTGGGGACTGGTGCTGCAGTCCCGCCTTGGGGACTGGTGCTGCAGTCCCGCCTTGGGGACTGGAGCTGCAGTCCCGGCTTGGGGACTGGAGCTGCAGTCCCGCCTGGGGGACTGGAGCTGCAGTCCGGCCTGGGGGACTGGAGCTGCAGTCCCGCCTGGGGGACTGGAGCTGCAGTCCCGCCTGGGGGACTGGAGCTGCAGTCCCGCCTTGGGGACTGGAGCTGCAGTCCCGCTTTGGGGACTGGAGCTGCAGTCCCGCCTGGGGGACTGGAGCTGCAGTCCCGCCTGGGGGACTGGAGCTGCAGTCCCGCCTGGGGGACTGGAGCTGCAGTCCCGCCTGGGGGACTGGTGCTGCAGTCCCGCCTTGGGGACTGGGGCTGCAGTCCCGCCTTGGGGACTGGAGCTGCAGTCCCGGCTTGGGGACTGGAGCTGCAGTCCCGGCTTGGGGACTGGAGCTGCAGTCCCGGCTTGGGGACTGGAGCTGCAGTCCCGCCTGGGGGACTGGAGCTGCAGTCCCGCCTGGGGGACTGGAGCTGCAGTCCCGCCTGGGGGACAGGAGCTGCAGTCCCGCCTGGGGGACTGGAGCTGCAGTCCCGCCTTGGGGACTGGAGCTGCAGTCCCGGCTTGGGGACTGGAGCTGCAGTCCCGGCTTGGGGACTGGAGCTGCAGTCCCGGCTTGGGGACTGGAGCTGCAGTCCCGGCTTGGGGACTGGAGCTGCAGTCCCGGCTTGGGGACTGGAGCTGCAGTCCCGCCTTGAGGACTGGAGCTGCAGTCCCGGCTTGGGGACTGGAGCTGCAGTCCCGGCTTGGGGACTGGAGCTGCAGTCCCGCCTGGGGGACTGGAGCTGCAGTCCCGCTTGGGGACTGGAGCTGCAGTCCCGCCTGGGGGACTGGAGCTGCAGTCCCGCCTGGGGGACTGGAGCTGCAGTCCCGCCTTGGCGACTGGAGCTGCAGTCCCGCCTTGGGGACTGGAGCTGCAGTCCGGCCTGGGGGACTGGAGCTGCAGTCCCGCCTGGGGGACTGGAGCTGCAGTCCCGCCTGGGGGACTGGAGCTGCAGTCCCGCCTTGGGGACTGGAGCTGCAGTCCCGCTTTGGGGACTGGAGCTGCAGTCCCGCCTGGGGGACTGGAGCTGCAGTCCCGCCTGGGGGACTGGAGCTGCAGTCCCGCCTGGGGGACTGGAGCTGCAGTCCCGCCTGGGGGACTGGTGCTGCAGTCCCGCCTTGGGGACTGGGGCTGCAGTCCCGCCTTGGGGACTGGAGCTGCAGTCCCGGCTTGGGGACTGGAGCTGCAGTCCCGGCTTGGGGACTGGAGCTGCAGTCCCGGCTTGGGGACTGGAGCTGCAGTCCCGGCTTGGGGACTGGAGCTGCAGTCCCGTCTTGGGGACTGGTGCTGCAGTCCCGCCTTGGGGACTGGTGCTGCAGTCCCGCCTTGGGGACTGGAGCTGCAGTCCCGGCTTGGGGACTGGAGCTGCAGTCCCGCCTGGGGGACTGGAGCTGCAGTCCGGCCTGGGGGACTGGAGCTGCAGTCCCGCCTGGGGGACTGGAGCTGCAGTCCCGCCTGGGGGACTGGAGCTGCAGTCCCGCCTTGGGGACTGGAGCTGCAGTCCCGCTTTGGGGACTGGAGCTGCAGTCCCGCCTGGGGGACTGGAGCTGCAGTCCCGCCTGGGGGACTGGAGCTGCAGTCCCGCCTGGGGGACTGGAGCTGCAGTCCCGCCTGGGGGACTGGTGCTGCAGTCCCGCCTTGGGGACTGGGGCTGCAGTCCCGCCTTGGGGACTGGAGCTGCAGTCCCGGCTTGGGGACTGGAGCTGCAGTCCCGGCTTGGGGACTGGAGCTGCAGTCCCGGCTTGGGGACTGGAGCTGCAGTCCCGCCTGGGGGACTGGAGCTGCAGTCCCGCCTGGGGGACTGGAGCTGCAGTCCCGCCTGGGGGACAGGAGCTGCAGTCCCGCCTGGGGGACTGGAGCTGCAGTCCCGCCTTGGGGACTGGAGCTGCAGTCCCGGCTTGGGGACTGGAGCTGCAGTCCCGGCTTGGGGACTGGAGCTGCAGTCCCGGCTTGGGGACTGGAGCTGCAGTCCCGGCTTGGGGACTGGAGCTGCAGTCCCGCCTTGAGGACTGGAGCTGCAGTCCCGGCTTGGGGACTGGAGCTGCAGTCCCGGCTTGGGGACTGGAGCTGCAGTCCCGCCTGGGGGACTGGAGCTGCAGTCCCGCTTGGGGACTGGAGCTGCAGTCCCGCCTGGGGGACTGGAGCTGCAGTCCCGCCTGGGGGACTGGAGCTGCAGTCCCGCCTTGGGGACTGGAGCTGCAGTCCCGGCTTGGGGACTGGAGCTGCAGTCCCGGCTTGGGGACTGGAGCTGCAGTCCCGGCTTGGGGACTGGAGCTGCAGTCCCGCCTTGGGGACTGGTGCTGCAGTCCCGCCTTGGGGACTGGTGCTGCAGTCCCGCCTTGGGGACTGGAGCTGCAGTCCCGGCTTGGGGACTGGAGCTGCAGTCCCGCCTGGGGGACTGGAGCTGCAGTCCGGCCTGGGGGACTGGAGCTGCAGTCCCGCCTTGGGGACTGGTGCTGCAGTCCCGCCTTGGGGACTGGTGCTGCAGTCCCGCCTGGGGGACTGGAGCTGCAGTCCCTCCTGGGGGACTGGAGCTGCAGTCCCGCCTTGGGGACTGGAGCTGCAGTCCCGCCTGGGGGACTGGAGCTGCAGTCCCGCCTTGGGGACTGGGGCTGCAGTCCCGCCTTGCGGACTGGAGCTGCAGTCCCGCCTTGGGGACTGGAGCTGCAGTCCCGGCTTGGGGACTGGAGCTGCAGTCCCGGCTTGGGGACTGGAGCTGCAGTCCCGCCTGGGGGACTGGAGCTGCAGTCCCGCCTGGGGGACTGGAGCTGCAGTCCCGCCTGGGGGACTGGAGCTGCAGTCCCGCCTGGGGGACTGGAGCTGCAGTCCCGCCTTGGCGACTGGAGCTGCAGTCCCGCCTTGGGGACTGGAGCTGCAGTCCCGGCTTGGGGACTGGAGCTGCAGTCCCGGCTTGGGGACTGGAGCTGCAGTCCCGCCTTCGCGACTGGAGCTGCAGTCCCGCCTTGGGGACTGGAGCTGCAGTCCCGGCTTGGGGACTGGAGCTGCAGTCCCGGCTTGGGGACTGGAGCTGCAGTCCGCCTTGGGGACTGGAGCTGCAGTCCCAGCTTGGGGACTGGAGCTGCAGTCCCGCCTTGGGGACTGGGGCTGCAGTCCCGCCTTGGGGACTGGAGCTGCAGTCCCGGCTTGGGGACTGGAGCTGCAGTCCCGGCTTGGGGACTGGAGCTGCAGTCCCGCCTGGGGGACTGGAGCTGCAGTCCCGCCTGGGGGACTGGAGCTGCAGTCCCGCCTTGGGGACTGGAGCTGCAGTCCCGGCTTGGGGACTGGAGCTGCAGTCCCGCCTTGGGGACTGGAGCTGCAGTCCTGGCTTGGGGACTGTAGCTGCAGTCCCGCCTTGGGGACCAGAGCTGCAGTCCCGCCTTGGGGACCGGAGCTGCAGTCCTGCCTGGGGGACTGGAGCTGCAGTCCCGCCTTGGGGACTGGAGCTGCAGTCCCGCCTTGGGGACTGGAGCTGCAGTCCGGCTTGGGGACTGGAGCTGCAGTCCCGGCTTGGGGACTGGAGCTGCAGTCCCGGCTTGGGGACTGGAGCTGCAGTCCCGGCTTGGGGACTGGAGCTGCAGTCCCGGCTTGGGGACTGGAGCTGCAGTCCCGCCTTGGGGACTGGAGCTGCAGTCCGGCTTGGGGACTGGAGCTGCAGTCCTGCCTTGGGGACTGGAGCTGCAGTCCCGGCTTAGGGACTGGAGCTGCAGTCCCGTCTTTGGGAATGGAGCTGCAGTCCCGCCTTGGGGACTGGAGCTGCAGTCCCGGCTTGGGGACTGGAGCTGCAGTCCCGGCTTGGGGACTGGAGCTGCAGTCCCGGCTTGGGGACTGGAGCTGCAGTCCCGGCTTGGGGACTGGAGCTGCAGTCCCGGCTTGGGGACTGGAGCTGCAGTCCCGGCTTGGGGACTGGAGCTGCAGTCCCGGCTTGGGGACTGGAGCTGCAGTCCCGCCTTGGGGACTGGAGCTGCCCACTGCCCACTGCCCCCACGTCCCCACCACCTCTCTCACCAGCTCTTTAACATCTGCCATGTCAGTGGTCATCCCCCTCCACGTGCTTGCCCCATGCACACCCACGCAACTATCTCTCACGCCTGCCCCACCACTCTCACCAGCTTCTTCACATTCTCCATGTCGGTGGTCACCCCCCGCCACGTGCTCGCCACGTCTCGGAAGAGCCGGTCGGGATGGTCCAACCTGTTGCTCTCTCACTTCGAGCTTGCCAGTCCCCCCACTGCACACACATGTCTCATGGCTACCACCTCACTCACCAGCTCCTTCACATCAGCCATGTCGGTGGTCACCCCCCTCCACGTGCTCGCCACGTCGCAGAAGAGCCGGTCGGGATGGTCCAACCTTTTGCTCTCTGACTTCCAGCTTGCCAGTCCCCCCACTGCACACACATACCTCATGGCTACCACCTCACTCACCAGCTCCTTCACATCAGCCATGTCGGTGGTCACCCCCCGCCACGTGCTCGCCACGTCTCGGAAGAGCCGGTCTGGATGGTCCAACCTGTTGCTCTCTCACTTCGAGCTTGCCAGTCCCCCCACAGCACACACATGCCTCATGGCTACCACCTCACTCACCAGCTCCTTCACATCAGCCATGTCGGTGGTCACCCCCGCCACGTGCTCGCCACGTCTCGGAAGAGCCGGTCCGGATGGTCTAATTTGCCACCTTGAAGGGAGACTGCCAAGGACGTGAAGGGCTCCAAGCGCACAAGATAGTGGGAGGCCTGGAGGGAGTGGGTTTGGGGAGGGGAAAGGGAATTGTGGGGTTGGAGTGGTGGGGATGTGGAAAGAGTGAAACCATGCGGTAGGTAGGAACAACAACAACAGATCGTACTGTTAATCCTTTGCTAAAGATTTCTTTAGACTGCTGCTCGCCTAATCGCATGGCTGAAGGGATGTGGAAAGAGTGAAACCATGCGGTAGGTAGGAGTCTTGGAAGAGCCGGTCAGTCGGGAATTCGGATGGTCCAGCCTGCAGCCTTGCAGGGAGACTGCAAGGGAAGGGTAAAGGGCTCAAGGGGGAGGGCGAGGGATGTGAAGGGCTCTAGGACTGCGCGATAGTGGGAGGCCTGGTGTGGTGGGTGGGATGGAGTGGTGGGGAGGAGGTAAGGGGCACGGGAAGCAAGACATGCTCCTAGTTAGGGAGACTGCGAGGGACGTGAAGGGCTCTAGGCGTGCGGGACAGTGGGAGGCCTGGTGTGGTGGGTGGGGGGGGGCAGTGAAGGGAGGGGATTGTGGTGTGGAGTTAGAGAGGAAAGGAGTTGTGTTTGGTGCTTTGAACCAGCCGGCGCTCTTTAAGAGTCGCGGTGCCTAAAGAGTTACTTATAATGCTAAAAGTGTCACATATTATGCTAGACGTGTCACAGTGCTAGGGGAGAAACTCACAATGGCAGCGCTGGAGTAGTGCGTGCCGTGGTGGAACTTGGGAATGACCGGGTCGTCAAACGTCTCGTAGCGCTCGATTATCTTTGCCAGGCGAGGCTGAGTCAACGCTCCCATGGGCTGGAGGCAGGGGAAAGTAGTGAGCGGGAGAGGGAGGACGAGAGGGGGGGGGAAGAGGGAAGGGGAGAGGGAAAAGGAGAGGGAAGGGAAAGCGGCTGGGTTTTGTCATTGGATCACATTTGTGCATGAGTCAGTGCTCCCATGGGCTGGAGGTAGGGTGGAGGAGGGAGGGAGGGAAACGCGGAGAAGAGGGGGAGTTGGGAGCAGGGATGCAGCATGGCACAAAAAATCAGGATGGCACAGTGAAAGGAACAGCAAATCGAATGACAAGCGAGGCAAATCAGGAACAAATGAGGATGGGTGGGAGGCAGCTTCAGCCCAATCTATTCCAGGCCAGATTATATGTCAGTTGGGGTGCAGGCAGACCAGCAGTGTCACCTTGGAGAGGTCGCGGAATGTGGCTGTCTTGGTGAGATCGAGTTCCTTGGAGGTATAATCCTGAATTACCCAGGGGAAGACGGGGTACTTCACCCAGACCAGGGAAAAGGGAGGTGGGTGGAACCAAGGCCAGCGGGTAAGTGATATGCCTCCTCTTTAAGTGATGACCAATCAATGAAGGGCCAATTCCTGATGCGGCCATGTGAAAGAGCGCCTTTTGAGGCGCCTCAATGCGCAAGCCCATGATAAAGAATGTGCACCTGAGTGACGTCGTTGACTTTTGAGGTGCCTCAAAGGACATTCAGTAAAGGGTCCATTCCTGATGCGCCCATGAGACAGAATGTGCACCTGAGTGACGTCGTTGAAGGATCGCCCAGCGAGCGTGTTGAGGTGCATGAGGTACATGAGAAACAGCAGCACCCAAAATGAGGTGTATGTATTGAGTCTATTTTTGAGTCGACTCAAAAATAGACTCAATGCAGCACCCAGGTGTATGTATGCATGCTTGCACCACGACGCACGAGAAACCAGCACAGCACAGCACAGCACAGCACAGCACAGCACAGCACAGCACAGCACAGCACGCACCTGAGTGACGTCGTTGAAGGATCGCCCGGCGAGAGTGTTGAGGTGCATGAGGTACTCAAAGTTGGTGATCTGACGGGGAGTGGAGAGGAGTGGAGGGGAGTGGAGGGGAGTGGAAGGGAGTGATTTGCAGCAGGGAAACATGAGCAGAGTTTGCATAGGATCGTCCAGTGAGAGTGTTGAGATGCAACAGGGAAACAGAGGGACAGTGGGCAATGGGTACCACGAGAAATTGGCCAGCAGGAGTGTGAGGCAAGAGGAAATGGGGCGCGCAGACATACCTCTCTGTTGACCCATTTCTTGGTGAGCTGAAGCTTCTCCAAAATGTTCTCCGGTCGCTGTGCAACACAGACAGACAGACACACACACACACACACGTGCAGACAATCATGGGCAACATAATAAGACAGCAAGAAACAAAATCAAGGACACGAACAGAACAGAACAGAACAGAACAGAATGAATGTCATGGTAATAACAGAGGGCCACACACAGAGGAAAGCGCTCTCTGAGGCGAGTGCCGCTGTTACGAGGATAAGAAGTGAGAAATAGGCCCGAAAGAAAATAGGTACCTGCGATGCCGAGAAGAGGTGCTGGAAATGAGGCGGGTGGGCCCTCTTGATGGCGCGGTGCACTCTCTTGCGCTCCTCTTGCTGTACGCGTGTACTACTGGTTTGGTTTGAACCACTCTACCCACCTGCGAGGCCGAAAAGAGGTGCTGGAAGTGCGGCGGGTGGGCCCTCTCGATGGCACGGTGCACTCTCTTGCGCTCCTCGGCCCCCTCAAAGGCAAAGAAGAAATTGGCCCGGTCGATCATGAATATCTCCAGAGCAGAGCGGCGCAGCAGGTAGCTGGTGGGAGGGAGCACATGACAGAGGGAGGGAGTCGTGTCAGCAACAGACGTTTGAGGCACATCACAAGTTGCATGCCGAACCTTTTGAGGCACATCACAAGTTGCATGCCGAACCTTTTGAGGCACATCACAAGTTGCATGCCGAACCTTTTGAGGCACATCACAAGTTGCATGCCGAACCTTTTGAGGCACATCACAAGTTGCATGCCTAACCTTTTGAGGCACATCACAAGTTGCATGCCGAACCTTTTGGAAAACACAGTCTGAAATCCACACACCGCCATGACATCCAGTTAAGGACCCTCACCGTCGAGTCAGCACTTCACGAACGGACGACAGCCGCCACACGCGATCCCCCATGCTCCCTTTCACAGCCCCCTCTCCTCCTGTCGCTCCTCCGCTCCTGCCAATCTTGCCACCCTTTTCACCGTTGCTACTAGAAACCAATGCCTCCTTCTCTGCAACTTCCTGCCCACGCTCCTTCTCCCCTCCGCCCACCTCACCCTTCTCTCCTTTCTCACTCTTCTCTCCCTGTCCTCCACACCCTCTTTCTCGGAACGGCACGGAGGGATCCACGTGGAACCAGAGGCGAGTGGTGGTAACCACCAGCCGCCCCTTCACTGTTCGCAGCGGCTGCACCATCATTGCTGCCACGTCAGCCAGCACCTCTTCGCCGTCCACATCCGCCACTAGCGTCCACTCCACGCCGCCCAGCTTCCCTCTCTGCTTCCCATCTTTGGATGGTCCTCTTGGCTTATGCTTCTCCCCTCCACTCGCACCCCCTTCCACACCACCACCCACAACACCATCTCCCACCTCGTTCCTCTTTACAGTCTCCTCTGCTACTGCACTCCCCAGCCCTTCTCTCTCAGCAACAGCCCCTGCTGTAGCTCCGTCTCTCTCATCTACAGCACCCCTCCCTGCCCCTCCCTCCTCGCCTCCCTCCTCCTTCCCAGCTGCCTCTCCTCCCTCTCCTCCTCCCTTCCCTCCTTCCTCCTCCTTTCCCTTTTCCTGCTCTTTCTCCCCTTCCCCCTCCGCTCCCCGCTCCTCTCCCCCCTTTCCCCCACCTCCCCTCATGAATCCCCCTAGAGGGGCGGGCAGGGCCCCCCCAAGCCGCTGCACTGCCTCCTCGACTGCTGCAGCACTCGTTCCTGTGTCTCCTGCTGAGGCTGCTGCTGTAGCTGCTGCTGACTCAGCAGCAGCATCAGTACTGGCATCTGCAACGGCATCTTCTGCGGCTGCTGCACCACCCCTTATGGCCCCGTGGGGACCGGAAGCACGGAGCGTGGCAGTGGCGGCTGTGGAGAAGCATGGCTTCACGCGCCGGCGCATGCGCAGCGATGTCTCCATGCGGTCCAGCTGCCACACGGTCTGATGGGGTTGGTATGGGGTGGCATGGTGGGGAAGTGAAAGAGAGGTTGGAGGGAAACGTGCATGCGCAGAGATGTCTCCATGCGGTCCAGCTGCCATACAGTCTGGTGGGATGGAATGGCATGGGGGAGTTTGGGGATGGTTGGGTGGGTGAGGTATGGAGGGGTGGAAGGGTGGCGAGGGACGTGAATGCGCAGAGAGAGTCTCCATGTGATTCAGCTGCCACACGGCCTGATGGGGGTGGCATGGGGTGGTGGGTGGGTGGGTGGTGTAGGCATACTGCGGTGTGGGAGTAAAAGGAGGGTGGAAGGGCAGTGAGGAAGTGCGAGTGCATGGGGATGTTTCCATGCGGTCCAGCTGCCACACCGCCTGATGGGATTGGTATGGGGTTGGGGATAGTGGGAGAGTGAAAGGGAGGTTGGTGGGAAACGTGCATGCGCAGGGATGTCTCCATGCAGTCCAGCTGCCACACCGCCTGATGGGGGTGGGCATGTTATGGCATGGTATGGGGGTGGTTGGGATGTTGGGGTTGGGGATGGCGTGTGGGAGGAGGTTAGAAGGGCAGGGAGAAGCATGCATATATACGCAGGGGAGTTTGCATGCGGCCCAGCTGCCACACAGTCTGGTGGGGGTGGTATGGACTGGTATGTATGGGGGTGGTATGGACTGGTATGTATGGGGGTGGTATGGACTGGTATGTATGGGGGTGGTATGGTCTGGTATGTATGGGGGTTATTATCAGGCTCACAGTGCTTTAAGGGGTACACGAGGATAAGACAGAACCCTGATAGGCCTGCTCTGCTCGCAACTAAGTGTTTGAGGGCCACACTAGCACAGCAATCCTTATGCCTGCTCGCAACTCAGAAGTTACGAACCAAACACTCACTGGTGATTGGATAAATTCTTCATGGCTTGCCCGAGCGCCACACAGCCGCCCGGACTTGAGCAGCTGGCGAATGACAGAGCGCCACATGCGCGCTCCTGCCGCCCGCGCCTTGACAATGGGTGAGTGGAGCTTTGCTTCTTGCAGGGTCTGGAAAGGGATGGGTGGAGAGTGGGGGGTGAGGGAAATGATGAGGGTGGGGAAAAGAGAAGGATAAGGACGGGCTTAACCTGTTGAGTTGGCTCAAAAGTCACTGCAGCAGATTGTGCCTTGACGATGATACGAAGCCCTGCATCTTGAAGGGTTTGAAGTGGGGGGCGTGACAACTGGGGTTGGCTGACCTGTAATTCGAGCAGGTCGTGCAGAGAGGAGAGGTAGAGCTGCAGTCCCCCCACTCTGGGCCCCAGGGAGATGCTGTACCTCATCTCCACCTCATCCCACTCCTTGATACTGCTGCTCACACCGCTGTCGCTACCACCGCTGCTGCTGCTGCTGCTGCTGCTGCTGCCCTTGACAGGAGAGGAGAGTGGGAGACTAGAGAGCTTGAGAGCAGGGTGCTTGAGCCCAGTCACATCTCCCCACGCGCCCTCCAGCGAGTCCCACAGACTCCATCGCCCCGACCTCTGGATATCCCCCTTCTCTCGCCGCTTCGCTGACGTGGCACCCCCGGGAACTCCGTCCACTCCCGGCCTGCCATCTGCCAGCCCGTACAGCCGATCCATATGTCCCAGCTTCCTCTCTCGACCCATCCTTGCAGCAGCACCACCAGCACCGAAAAATGCACCACCCACACCGCCACCACCGCCGCCGCTCTTGCTGCTGCTGCTCCAGTTCCTACCCAAGCCGTGAGCAGCAGCAGGGCCTGTGGCAGCAGCAGTGGCAGCCAGGCAGACAGCAGCAGGCGGAGAGGCAAACGCGGCGACCCACACAGGGGAGAGGAACGCAAGAGCAGCATCGGTAGGAGAGGCGTCAGTGGCAAGGGCGGGGTTGTGGGGGTCTGAGAAGGGGGAGGCGCCTGTGTGGTCTGAGAGGAGGCGGAGGCAGCGTAGGGCTGGGCGCCACTTGCGGAGGAGCGCGGTGAAGGGGGGGAGGAGGAGGGCGACAAAGGTGGGGCGCAGGATTGTGCGATCGCGATCGATTGAGTGGATGATCTGGCAGGGTGTGGGGGGTGGGGAGAAAGGGGAGGATAGCGAGTTTGGAGGTGGGGAGGGGTGAAAGCATTAGTATGTGAACTTCACCGATAAATATGTGTGATGCTGCTTCTGTGATGTGAAACACACTATGACCTCTGTGGTCGTCACATACCTCTGTGTGCAGAATGGCAGCGACAGAGAGAGCGCAGTTCTGGCGCTGGTCAAGGCGAGACGTGGTAAGGAGGGGTGCGAGGATTCTGCCATGGGGGAATGAGATAGCAGCCACAAAAAGATGCACAGAAAATGACTTAGCATGGTCAGGTGGATGGTTTACGGATGGACCTATTTTTGAGTCGACTCAAAAACATGGTCAGGTGGATGGTATACGGATGGACCTATTTTTGAGTCGACTCAAAAACATGGTCAGGTGGATGGTATACGGATGGACCTATTTTTGAGTCGACTCAAAAACATGGTCAGGTGGATGGTATACGGATGGACCTATTTTTGAGTCGACTCAAAAACATGGTCAGGTGGATGGTATACGGATGGATGATGGGCGTTGTGCTTGGGAGAAGCGACAAGCAGACAGACAAAATTAGCAGTCAAATGTACGAATGAGTCACGCTCCTCCAACATCATACACACTCACCTCCACAGCAGGGAGCTCAGAACCTTCTCCGTAACTTTCTCTCCCTCCCTCACTCCTTTCCTGATCAGCTCCCCGCCCATCTCCCCCCCATCCGTCTCCCTAGCCGCCACCAGCACCACCCTCAATATAGTCACAAGCGATTGATCATCATCCAACACCCCTTTAAGAGCGTCACTCATTCCTGCCCCCACCCCTCCCAGCACAGCCAAAACGCCTGACTCCGCTGCTCCCACCCCTTCTTTCTCTAAAAGCATACCCTTCAGTATAGTCACACCCTTCAGCACCAGGCGCAGGTCTACCCATCCCCCTGCCTCGTCCTCCTCCTCATCTTCCTGTATAGGTTCTGCAAGCTCCATTAACACTTGCTCTAAAGCAGACACTTCTGCTCTGCTCCCCTCCTCACTCCCACCCACCTCCCCTCCCTTCCTCCCCTTCCCTCCTCTCTCACCCCCCCACCCCACTGCCTCCTCCCCTTCCTCCCCCACACCCTCTCCAAACCACAGCCGGGACCTCCGGCGCCAGCTGTCGGGCAGCGATTGGACGATGGATCCATAGCTGGCTAAGGCAGACTGGATGGCTTTAAATCGCCTGGGCTTGTGCTTCTTACGATTCCTCTCTATCGCTGACCCGAGGCCCGATGGCGATGCATGAGTCACCTGCCGCTGCTGCTGCTGCTGCTGCTGCTGGGGGCTGTCTAGAGAGATGAGGGAGGCTGTTCCTGGTGGGGATGATGACAGGCGGGCTAGAGGAGGGGAGACGGTGGGCTGCAGGGGTAGAGTGGAGGGAGAGAAGGAGCCGGTGAGCAGATCGAAATGCATCCCAGCTGCTGCTGCTGCTGCTGTTGGTGTTGCTGCTACTGCTGCTGCAGATGACGCATCCACTGCTGTTGCTGTTCCTGCTGTTTTTGATGATGGGGATAAAGCAGCGGTGGAAGCAGGTGCTGCTGTGGTGGGGGGGGTGACAGTGACTGTGACAGCAGCAGCGGGGAGGGTTTCTGAGCTGAGATCGATCAGAGGGAACTCCGCCACCCACCCGAAACCATTAGAGGCAGCATCTGTAGCAGCTGCAGCAGCTGTAGCAGGCGAATCAGTTGTAGCAGCTGTAGCATCTGCAGTGGCAGGGTCTGTCCGGCTGGGAGATTCAGGGTCCAAGGAAGGGAACTCAGCTGTCCATGCAGGAGTGTCAGCAGCAGAGGCAACAGCAGGTGTTGCTCCAGTGCTCCCTGTACCCCTGGCTGCTGCCTTATCTGCTCCTGCTGTTACTTCTGCCGATGTTGCTGCTGTTGTTGTTCCAGCAGCAGTAGCACCAGCATCAGCAGCAGCGGCACCAGCACCTGCAGCAGCACCAGCACCAGTAGCAGCAGCAACGGCAGCAGTCAGAGCATCAGCAGGATCAGCCCAAGCAGTAGGCCTAGACTTCCGCCTCCCCTCCCCATCCTCCTCCTCCTCCTCTGCCACCACCGTCCACCGCACTCCATCCCTGTCCACCCTCTGACCCTCCACCAGCCCGTCCCCACTCTCCTCCTCTCCTTCCTCCTCCTCCTCCCCCTCCCCCTTGCTAATCCTCTTCTCAGCTTGCATTCGTAGAAAATCTTCTAGAAGCATCAGCAGTGCCACTGCGTTGTCTAGCAGGCAGGTGGCGGCAACAGGAGGGGCAGCAGCAGTTGGGGCAGCAGCAGCAGCAGCAGGAGCAGGAGAGGCAGTGGCAGGCAAGGCGGCAGTAGCAGGGGTGGTGGAAGAGCGAGGAGAGAGCATGTCTAGGGCAGAGGAGGAGGGCGGTGGGGAGGAGAGAGAGTGGGGTTGAGAGCGGTTTGGAGGAGGGGGGATTGCGGGGAGGTGGGAAGCGGTGAAGTCCAGAGCTTCGTGTAACAGCCTGCGATGAATTGTTACCATTGCTGCTTGCCTCCTGCACATGTGTGTGAGTGTGATCGTATGCGTTGGAGAGATGGACAGATGGATGGATGGATGGATGGATGGATGGATGGATGGATGGATGGATGGATGGATGGATGGATGGATGGATGGATGGATGGATGGATGGATGGATGGATGGATGGATGGATGGATGGATGGATGGATGGATGGATGGATGGATGGATGGATGGATGGATGGATGGATGGATGGATGGATGGATGGATGGATGGATGGATGGATGGATGGATGGATGGATGGACGGACGGACGGATGGATGGACGGACGGATGGATGGATGGATGGATGGATGGATGGATGGACGGATGGATGGAGCAATGCTTGTGTAAGAGGGATTTTCAATCTCAGGAAGCTTTTGATTTTCCACACAAACTTGCACACACGAGGAAGCAGGTAAACAAATGTGCACACACACACACACACACACACACACACACACACACACACACACACACACACACACACACCACACACACACACACACACACACACACACACCACACACACCTCTTCAGCTGCTCTCCCACACTGCTTCCCCCAATGAGTGCCTTCCACTGCAGGCAGTGAAATGTGGCCTCGAGCACCTGATAAGACACAGAGAGAGAGATGGGGGGAGAGAGAGAGGTCAGGAAGAACGAACATGGACGCGCAGACAAGGGGTGGAAGAAAGGAGAGAGCAGACTGAAATGAAGCATACGTGCACCATACTGAAATGAAGCATACGTGAACCATACTGAAATGAGGGGGTGAAAGAAATCTGCATGTCCACTCCCCTCACCTTCCAGCCCTGGTTGACTGCCAGGCAGTGTTAAAACACTATTCCCAGGAAGCTGAATATGAGCCCATACGTTCAATGCTCTATACCTGCTCCTTCGTCTCACCATTTCCGCCCCCCACCCCTCACCTTCCAGCCCTGTTTGACCGTCAAGCAGTGCTCAAACACTATCCCCAGGAAGCTAAAGATGAGCTCGTTCACATCCTCCTGCACACTCGTGCTGCTGCGCACAGCACGCGAGTCCCCAGTGCCCTCTCCTTCAGCAGAAGCCAAGTCACTGCTCTCCTTCTCCTTGTCTCGCCCTCCCAGCTGCCCCTGCGTTGCTGTGGATTTGCTGGTACCTGCTGAAGGCAAGGCCTGGAAGGGTGTGGTATAGGGAGGGGTAGGTGGGACGAAGGACAGAAGGGCATGTGTGTGACAGGCACATGAGAATGCAGAGGTCGATAGAGGTGACCCATATACTCAACGTATTTGCTCACTTACAAGAAAGGCTTTAAGAAAAGTCACAAGTCCCCTGGGATGGTTCGAGATGTATGTGAAGACGGGTAGTGTCAAAAATAGGAAAGCGGCAAAATCTGGTTTTTTCACAGCTAATGGAAGAATTTTCGCAGCTACAGTGCAGCTGCAGCAGCCCTTCACCCACTGCTGCAATGGCTATCCTTTGCCTCGAGATTCGACAGCAAAATCTCGATCGAGCAGCCACTCGGGCCTCTCTGGGGAGTGGGTGAGGAGGCCTATGTTGGTGGCTTTTGAGACGTCTCAAAAGGTGAGGAGGCCTATGTTGGCGGCGAGAGGAGCAGCAGCAGGTCCTAGGGAATGCACCCACTCCCCTGTAGCCGCGCCTATTCCATACCTCGAGATTTGCCAGCAGAATCTCGAGCAACCACTCAGGCCACTCGGGGGAGTGTGTGAAGAGGCACGTGTTGGCTTGGCGGGGTGGAGGGAGAGCAGCAGCAGCAGATCCTGGGGTGTGCGCCTAATCCCTTATAACCACGCCTATCCTACTCCATGCCTCGAGATTCAACAGCAAAATGCAGGGCCTGTGGAGTGGAATGCATCTCACCCCAGAATCCCCTATCGCTGCGCCCATTCCACACCTCGAGATTTGCCAGCAGAATCTCGAGCAACCACTCAGGCCACTCGGGGGAGTGTGTGAAGAGGCACGTGTTGGCTTGGCGGTGTGGAGGGAGAGCAGCAGCAGCAGATCCTGGGGTATGCGCCTAATCCCTTATAACCACTCCTATCCTACTCCATGCCTCGAGATTTAACAGCAAAATGCAGGTCCTGTTGAATGCATCGAATCACCTATCGCTGCGCCTATTCCATACCTCGAGATTTGCCAGCAGAATCTCGAGCAGCCACTCGGGCCACTCGGGGGAGTGTGTGAGGAGGCGAGTGTTCGCGGGGTTGACAGAGAGCAGCAGCAGCAGGTCCTGCAGCACTGCAAGCTGAGTGTGCGGCGCGGCAGAGGGTAAGGCGCGCAGGAGCGCCAGCAGTAGCTGCTGCTCCCAGGGGGCTATGAAGGTGGACGGGGGGAGGATGGCGGAAGGAGAATCGACAGCCTGCAGACGAGGTGAGAGGGGCCCAGAAGGGAAGGGAAGGAGTTAGCAGGCTGTCCCTTTGAGGTCGCTTTTGAGGCGCCTCAAAAACGACCTCAATGCACGCGGATGGCGGAAGGAGAATCGACAGCCTGCAGACGAGGTGAGAGGGGCACAGAAAGGAAGGGAAGGAGTTAGCTGGCGGTCCCTTTGCATCTCAACCTTTGCATCTCAACCTTTGCATCTCAACCTTTGCATCTCACCTTGCATCTCACCTTGCATCTCACCTTGCATCTCACCTTGCATCTCACCTTGCATCTCACCTTGCATCTGAGCATGGCACGGCAGTCATGACAGCATGGTACACAGCAGGCGTGAACAGCCTCCTAGGCGCCAGCTGCAGGTGCTGCTGCCAGGGAACTCTCAACACAACAGAGCTCGCTCCCTCCCTTTGCATCTCACCTTGCATCTGAGCACGGCAGTTATGAGAGCATTGTACAGAGCACGCGTGAACAGCCTCTTAGGCGCCACCTGCAGCGCCCTCTGCACGCCATACACCACCCACGCACCCACATTGCTGCGGTCCTTCCCTGCCCTCTCTACATTCCTCAGCCCAGCCCAGCCCAATACACCAATCACACCCATCTCACCTTGCATCTGAGCACCGTAGTCATGACAGCATGGTAGACAGCGGGCGTGAACAGCCTCTCAGGCGCCACCTGTGTCAGAGCCCTCTGCACGCCATACACCGCCCACACACCCACATTGCTGCCCTTCTTCCTCCAAACATCCCTCAGCCCAGCCCCATCACACCAGTCACACCCTCACCTTGCAGCGCAGCACGGCAGTCATGACAGCATGGTACACAGCAGGCGTGAACAGCCTCTCAGGCGCCACCTGTGTCAGAGCCCTCTGCACGCCATACACCGCCCACGCACCCACATTGCTGCAGCCCTTCCCTGCCCTCTCTACATTCCTCAGCCCAGCCCAGCCCAATACACCAATCACACCCTCCTCACCTTGCATCGCAGCACAGCAGTCATGATCGCATGGTACACTGCAGGCGTGAACAGCCTCTTAGGCGCCAGTTCCAGAGCCTTCTGCACGCCATACACCGCCCACGCACCCACGTTACTGCGGTCCTTCCCTGCCCTCTCTGTCACCACCGCTCCCAACCCCTGAGTAGTCGGCACCACTCCTAGAACCGACGGGTCGGATAGACGCAGGAAGCCTGAGTCTGCTAGCAGCCCTAGGATCGAGACCACCGCGACCATGATCGCATCTGGAACGTCCGTCAGCGGGAAGCCCTGATCGCTGTCAAAGTAAGAATCTGTAAAATCTGTTGCATCAGTTGTAGTGTCAGCTGGAGCTGAAGCTGTATCTGTATCTATGGCTGTAGCATCATCAGCAGTGGCGGTTGTAGCAGTACCTACCCCAGCAGCCATGGCATTGCTCTCACCCATCCAACCAGACAGCCAGAAGGCATCTGCAGCAGCAGCAGTAGCAGCAGCAGCAGCAGCAGCAGTAACAGCAGCAGCAGCAGCAGCAGCAATGGCAGGTCCTGCTGTGGTGGTGGGAGCCCCATGAGAGGATGATCTGTATGCAGCCCTCCCAGCAGAGGCATTTCCGCTGCCAATCCTAACAACTGTGCCACTGCAACCCGCACTGCTGCTGGCGCCAACACCCCTGCTGCTACCGCCCCCATCCCTGCTTGCAACGTTCACAATAGCAGCGGCAGCAGCAGCGGCCGCAGCCGCAGCAGAGGAACCAGCACCCCCTGGGCTCGCATGACTAGAAGCCGATTTCACAGAGGAAGAACCAGATGCAGAGCCAGTCCGGGCCAAGCGGGGCACCGACACACACACCCAGGGGGCAAGCACCGGCACCCCGTCCTTTGTCACCTGCACTGCACTCTCTTCAGCATCATCTTCATACACCTGCTTCGCCCTCAGCCTCTGCACCACTGCTGCCACCTCCGCTAGTCCCCTCCTCAAGTCCTCCTCCCCACCCTCCTCCTCGTCTTCCTCCACTCCCCTCTCTTGCTGCTCCTTGCCCGCTCCTGACTGCTCCACAACCACTGCATCCCGTGATAACCCACTAGAGCCTCTCCTGCTTCCTGTTCCCGCTGCCCCCGCTGCCCCTGCTGCTCCTGATGCTGCCTTTGAGCTTCTCTCCCCGCGCTCTTTGCCTGCTGCTGAGTCCGGTTTCTCTGCCTCAGTTTTCTTATCATCAATCGAGCCAACCTTCAGCCCAAGAGGCTCTAAAAACGCGTTCCAGGTGCTGAGGTCCCACACGCCTCCCCCTTTTGCCGCCTCTTGCTTTGGCTTTCTCTTGCTTTCATCATCGTCCTTCTCGTCTTCCTTTTTCTCCTCCTCCTTTCCCTCACTCTCTTTCTCAGAAACACCCTCTTTCTTCTCCCCCTCCTCAGGTATATCATTCTCTGACTCACCTTCCTTAGTCGAATCTTTCTCCCCCACTTTCTCTTTGTCATTATCCCCACCTGTCTGCCCTCCTTCCCTCTCTCCTTCACCCTTACCCTCACCTTCCTTCCCCCCACTTCCTGCCACCTCCCCTCCCTCCTTTGAATCTTCTCTCCCGCTCTCCGCCCCCCCTTGCCCCTCACCTGCCCCTCCCTTCCCATCCTCAAACACCAGAACCTTCCGTGCACCTTCATCCTCACCCTCACCCTTCCCCCCTAACTCCCCCTCCCTGCCCCCTTCCACTCCCCCTATCCCCTCCCCAGCCTCATTTTCAAGGCCTTCGCCGCCCGGAACCGGAACCAGACGCCTTCTGATTGGCCGACTGCCGGATTTGGGCGGGAAACTGACCGGATAGGTCTCCCCATACTGGGTTTCCCGCAACAGCAGCGCCAGGAGCATCTCTGCACCGCCTGAAGCGAGGAACTGCACCATGAAGGCTGATGCCCTGCTGCTGTTGGGCTGAGACATGAGTCTGTATAGCAGCAGCAGCACTCGGGCCACCTGGAAAGGAAACAAAGGGAGAAGGAGAAGAGGATAAGGTTGAGTCTCTGTTTCTCGCAGCAGCAGCACCAGAAGCATCTCTGCCCCGCCTGATGCGAGGAACTGCACCATGAAGGCTGATGCCCTGCTGCTGTTGGGCTGAGACATGAGTCTGTATAGCAGCAGCAGCACTCGGGCCACCTGGAAAGGAAACAAAGGGAGAAGGAGAAGAGGATCAGGTTGAGTCTCTGTTTCTCGCAGCAGCAGCGCCAGAAGCATCTCTGCCCCGCCTGATGCGAGGAACTGCACCATGAAGGCTGATGCCCTGCTGCTGTTGGGCTGAGACATGAGGCGGTATAGCAGCAGCAGCACTCGGGCCACCTGAGAGGCAATGGGGGAGAGCAGACGATGAAAAGGTTTAAGCCCTGCTGCTGCTGTTAGGTGGAATATTTGGGCTGCTGTTTGGAAGTCAGTCTGCCATACATCTGGCCATTCACGGTGAATGATTCACCCTAATGTGAGTATGAGAACTCGATCTTTCACCTGATTGGCCAGAGGGCGCTGCAGAGCGCAAAGGAGACAAGCACTCTCATGTCTGTCCCCATTATTTCCAGCCCCACGCCAGCACACAACAGCTTCTCCAGTACCCTGGGTCTAGGCAGGTTTCGGGTTTTAGGGTTTAAGTTCCTGACCTGGTTTGCCTGGGGGCACTGCAGTGCGAAGGAGACAAGAGCACGCATGTCTGCCCCCATGACATCCAGCCCCACGCCAGCACACACCAGCTTCTCTAGCGCCCCCATCACCGCATTCACCATCCCATTCACCTCCCCCATCATCCCCATCCGCTCCTCCTGCATCTCCTCCCTCCCCCACTCCCCACCCCCTCTCGCCCCTGCTTCTCCTGCCCCTCCTGCCCATCCCTTCACCATTGCTCCCAATCCTCCCGCTGCTTCACCCGTCACTATTGCCGCTGGGAGGTTAGGGTTCCAGCTGGCAGTGCAGAGGCGCACAGAGGAGGGCTCCCACGTCATCCAGTAGCAGCGACGACAGCCGTCTAGAAGGAGCTGGGGAGAGCAGGGGGGCCGGGTGAAATTAATGGAAGGGGGAAGTAATAAGACACATGAAAGCGCACAGAGGAGGGTTCCCAGGGCATCCAGTAGCAGCGACGACAGCCGTCTAGAAGGAGCTGAAGAGGTGGAGGGTGGGTGGGAGAGCAGGGCGGGTGTGGGGGATATCAATGAAGGAGGGAATGCAAACTCAATAGGAGGGCTCCCAGGTCATCCAGTAGCAGCGGCGACAGGACAGCAGTCCAGGAAAAGCTGATGGGTGGCATGGAGAGCAAGCTGGAGGGAGAGAGGGGGTAAATGCAAATCACGAGACAAGATGAGGGCTCTCGGGGCTTCCAGTAGCAGCGGCGACAGCTGTCCAGAAGGAGCTGAGAGGTGGGTGGAAGGGCGGATGGGCAGGTGGGGGTGGAGAAGGGAAATGATGGGAGTGGAAGCTGCAAATGCAAGAGGATGGCTCCTAGGCCATCCAGTAGCAGCGGCGGCAGCCGTCCAGAAGGAGCTGAGAGGTGGGTGGAAGGGCGGATGGGCAGGTGGGGGTGGAGAAGGGAAATGATGGGAGTGGAAGCTGCAAATGCAAGAGGAAGGCTCCTAGGCCATCCAGTAGCAGCGGCGGCAGCCGTCCAGAAGGAGCTGAGGAGTGGAGGGCGGGCGGGCAGGCAGGCGTGTTTTGAGACGTCTCAAAACACTCATCCAGTAGCAGCGGTGGCAGCCGTCCAGAAGGAGCTGAGGAGTGGAGGGCGGGCAGGCAGGCAGGCGTGTTTTGAGACGTCTCAAAACACTCATCCAGTAGCAGCGGTGGCAGCCGTCCAGAAGGAGCTGAGGAGTGGAGGGCGGGCAGGCAGGCAGGCGTGTTTTGAGACGTCTCAAAACACTCATCCAGTAGCAGCGGTGGCAGCCGTCCAGAAGGAGCAGGGGAGTGGAGGGCGGGCCGGCAGGCAGGCGTGTTTTGAGACGTCTCAAAACACTCATCCAGTAGCAGCGGTGGCAGCCGTCCAGAAGGAGCAGGGGAGTGGAGGGCGGGCGGGCAGGCAGGCGGGTGAACAAGGCGGGTTTGGAGGATAACAATGAAAGAGAGAATACAAACTCAAGAGAAGGGCTCCCAGGTCGTCCAGTAGCAGCGGCGGCAGCCGTCCAGAAGGAGCTGAGGAGTGGAGGGCGGGCAGGCAGGCATGCGTGTTTTGAGACGTCTCAAAACACTCATCCAGTAGCAGCGGTGGCAGCCGTCCAGAAGGAGCAGGGGAGTGGAGGGCGGGCCGGCAGGCAGGCGTGTTTTGAGACGTCTCAAAACACTCATCCAGTAGCAGCGGTGGCAGCCGTCCAGAAGGAGCTGAGGAGTGGAGGGCGGGCAGGCAGGCAGGCGTGTTTTGAGACGTCTCAAAACACTCATCCAGTAGCAGCGGTGGCAGCCGTCCAGAAGGAGCAGGGGAGTGGAGGGCGGGCCGGCAGGCAGGCGTGTTTTGAGACGTCTCAAAACACTCATCCAGTAGCAGCGGTGGCAGCCGTCCAGAAGGAGCAGGGGAGTGGAGGGCGGGCGGGCAGGCAGGCGGGTGAACAAGGCGGGTTTGGAGGATAACAATGAAAGAGAGAATACAAACTCAAGAGAAGGGCTCCCAGGTCGTCCAGTAGCAGCGGCGGCAGCCGTCCAGAAGGAGCTGAGGAGTGGAGGGCGGGCAGGCAGGCATGCGTGTTTTGAGACGTCTCAAAACACTCATCCAGTAGCAGCAGCAGCAGCCGTCCAGAAGGAGCAGGGGAGTGGAGGGCGGGCCGGCAGGCAGGCGTGTTTTGAGACGTCTCAAAACACTCATCCAGTAGCAGCGGTGGCAGCCGTCCAGAAGGAGCAGGGGAGTGGAGGGCGGGCGGGCAGGCAGGCGGGTGAACAAGGCGGGTTTGGAGGATAACAATGAAAGAGAGAATACAAACTCAAGAGAAGGGCTCCCAGGTCGTCCAGTAGCAGCGGCGGCAGCCGTCCAGAAGGAGCTGAGGAGTGGAGGGCGGGCAGGCAGGCAGGCGTGTTTTGAGACGTCTCAAAACACTCATCCAGTAGCAGCGGTGGCAGCCGTCCAGAAGGAGCTGAGGAGTGGAGGGCGGGCAGGCAGGCAGGCGTGTTTTGAGACGTCTCAAAACACTCATCCAGTAGCAGCAGCAGCAGCCGTCCAGAAGGAGCAGGGGAGTGGAGGGCGGGCGGGCAGGCAGGCGGGTGAACAAGGCGGGTTTGGAGGATAACAATGAAAGAGAGAATACAAACTCAAGAGAAGGGCTCCCAGGTCATCCAGTAGCAGCGGCGGCAGCCGTCCAGCGGAGCTGGGAAGAGGGAGGGTTTGTGAGAGGCGAGCAGGGGGGATGGGGGGATAGGCTGAAGCATAGAAGTTCTATAGGACACAGTTGAAGAAAAAGGCAAGGTCTGCTGGTGGGAACCAACAGACGGGCACATGCAACATATGGCTGCAAGCAGGGCCTCCAGTCTCGTTGATACTCCCCCAGTCTCGTTGATACTCCCCCAGTCTCGTTGATACTCCCCCAGTCTCGTTGATACTCCCCCAAACCCGTTGATACTCCCCCAAACCCGTTGATACTCCCCCAAACCCGTTGATACTCCCCCGATCCCGTCGATACTCCCCCGATCCCATTGATACTCCCCCCTCTCCCCAATGTTGACCTACCGAGACAGCTCCCACTGACTGACGAGCCTGCAGCTCCAAGGACACCACGACCGCGTCCCCTATGGCTGCAAGCAAGCAGGACCCCCTGAGATACTCCACACAAGCCCTCGCCCACTCATCCCGCTAGTTCTTCCCCACAAACTTTACATACCGAGACAGCTCCCACTGATTGCAGCGCCTGCAGCTCCAGAGAGACCGCGTCCCCTACGGCTGCAAGCAGGGCTCTCTGCGTGCTCAAGTGGGCGGGCGCCCACAAAGGCAGGTGCAGCAGCAGGTGCTCCATCAGGTGGTTTTTCAGGTGGTCGCCAGGGCGGGGCACGTGGGCCAGGAGCATGCACGCATGAACCAGCTCTTTGTCCCTATCTCGGTCTCTATCTCGTCTCTTCTCCAGTGAATGCTCCCTAGAGCTGTCAACGGATCCACTCGTGTATTCAGCTGCTGATTCATTAGGAGCTGATTCGGTAAGAGTGGGCGGCGAGGAGAGGACGAAATGGAGGAGGTGGGATAGGAGGGCGGGGGCGGGTCCTTTGAGCTCTTCTCGGTTCATCGGGCGGCGGAGGGAGCGAGCGATGATGCGGAGGACGTGAGGGAGGAGCTGAGAGGCGGAGAGGGAGAGAGGGGCCGAGCGAACCTGTGATGGGATACAAGGGGAGGGGTGGGAGGGGAAAATGGAGGGAGGGAAGGGAAGAATGGAGGGAACAGGGAGGGAGAGAGGGAGCGAGCTGGTGATGATGCGGAGGACGTGAAGGAGGAGCTGAGAGGTGGAGAGAGAGAGAGAGAGGAGGCGAGCGAACCTGTGATGGAAGAGAGACAAGGGGTGGAAGGGGGGAAAGAGAAAGAGGGAAGCGGGCGATTGAAACTTGAAGATTCAGAACAATGAAGCAGCAAGCACTCACCTGTGGTGCCGTGGAGTGGAGATCTGAGGCTTTGATGCAGAGGGGCAGCAGCGCCAGGGGACCCCTTCTGCTGCAGCTCACAGAGGTGGTTGCAGTGCAGGCAAGTGAAAGCAATGCCGTAGCTAGCCTATCTGCAGCTTCACAGCAGCTCACATTTGGTACCATAGAGTGGAGGTCAACCGTTTCGACGCAGAGGGGCAGCAGCGCCAGGGGACCCCTTCTGCTGCACCCCACCGAGGTAGTTGGAGGCACCCGAAATCAATGCCGTAGCTAACTTACCTGCTGCTCTTTAACAGCTCACCTGCTACGATGTAGCGACTCGCCTGCGGTGTCATGGTGTGGATATCCATGGCTTTAACGCAGAGGGGCAGCAGCGCCAGGGGACCCCCTTCTGCTGCAGCCCAGAGGAGCCACCAAAGCCCAGGGACTCACCTGAAGCAATGGATTTTAAAGCAATGACCTGGACACCTTAGTTGTAGCTCCAAAACAACTCACCTGCGGTGCCATGGAGTGAAGATCCATGGCTTCAATGCAGAGGGGCAGCAGCCCCAGCGGACCCCCTTCTGCTGCAGCCCACAGAGGTGGTTGGCGGCACGTGAAAGCACTGCCGCAATTAGCTTACTTGCTGCTCCCTAATAGCTCACCTGCGGTGCCATGGAGTGAAGATCCACGGCTTCGATGCAGAGAGGCAGCAGCGCCAGCGGACCCCCTTCTGCTGCAGCCCACAGAGCATCGGCTGCTCGCCGCCTTGCTGCCACGTGCACCTGCCCCACCACCTCTGCTGGCCTCCTCTGGACTCCTGTTGGGAGAGAAGAGAGGAGGGGCGAGTGCATGTACGAGTCAGCTTAAGCTGAGTGCCTGGACGCGTCATCCTCCCTCGCTGCCACAAGCACCTGCCCCACCACCTCTGCTGGCCTCCTCTGCACGCCTGGGAGAGTGTGAGAAAGGGTCCGCGGTATGAGATTGGGCATGTATGGTCCAGCAGGGTGTTTTTGAGAATTCTCAAAAACACTCCTCTGCACGCCTGGGAGAGCGTGAGAAAGGGTTCGCGGTATGAGATTGGGCATGTATGGGTCACACTTCATCCATCTTCAAAGTCAGCAAAGGAGCAGAGCCTGGCATGAAACGGGTTCCCTTTCCGGATTGGAACTGGTCAACTCAGAAATTGGATTGGAAAGCACCGGAGACTGACTGAGGCAGGAAGAGGTTCAGGGTTTGGAATTTGAACCGCGGAATTTGAGATGCGGGTATGTAGGGTTGGGAGGGAGACTCACCAGATGCGGGTATGTAGGGTTGGGAGACTCACCAGATGCGGTGGCAGGAGAGGCATCCGGGCAGAACCTTCCCAGAAGCATCTTGGGGTGGTACAGGAGGTGGATACTGGGAGCAAGGTCCACATCTAGACTGCATGACTCCTCGGCCTTTCTCATCATCAACTCACTCCCCATGTGAGCTGGTGCCCCCGCACCCGCCCCAAACACAGGCAGGTGGTCTCCACCACGCACCGCCAGCCTGGCGATTCTCTCGCTTCCGATTGGCTCCTTGAAGATGTAGACCGGGCCGAGCTCGGCAAACAGAGGGCACTGTAGCCGCTGCTGCCGGTGCTGGTGCTGGGCGGCGGGTCCTGTTTGTTTCTGAGAGGAGTTCAAGAGCAGTCCGGAAGGAGGGTTGGTGCCTACGCAGAGAAACCCTAACGGATTGGAGATTCGAGGGAGGTCAAGAGGCCAGGACTCTATCAGACGCCCGTTCACATACAGCCGGATCTCACTCTCTGCTTTACCCATGAGAGATGGCTTGAAGATGTGTTCTAGAGCTAGAAAATACCAGCGGCGCGGGAGAAAGGTGTGCCGGAACCGAACCGCGTTTCGGACGCCCGTCCAAGGGCAATTAGACTCAACAACAAGGGTGTCTTTGTGGAAATAGGCCTCTATTCCGTGGTTCTCGATGGTTAAGAAGCTGTAGAGGCGTGGTAGATGGAGGATGTTGGAGTTAGCAGCTGCTACAGCAGCAGCGATTTGAGCTGCAGTTACCTGAGCGGACCCTTTCCCTCCTCCCTTTGCCGTGATTGCTGCTGCAATGGCCGCTGCTTTGGCTGCGGCGGTGATCGCCGATGCTGACGTGTCAACAAACGATTCGACGTACAGCCACGTGGCGACAGCGTAACCGTTACTGAAGGGCCACTTGCTGTCGCCCGGACCTAGCAGCCCGGAGGTTCGACCGTCCAGCTCGAAAGAATGGGAGGGCCCCCGAGCCTCCTCCCCAGCCATGGCACGCTCCAAAGCTGTCAGCAGGAGAGCAGCACGACTACTCCCAGCGAGGCCACTACTGCTGCTGTTAATGCTGCTGCAAGGGCTGCTCCTGGGACCATCTTGAGCGTCAGCAGCAGGAGAATCAGCAGCCGTAGCAGCAGAAGCAGCGGTGGCAGCAGGTGGGGCAGCAGGAAGGACAAGAGCCTCGGTGGATCGGACCCAGTCCTGCAGCTCAGCAACGTTGAGGGAGTGCGCTGCCAGACACTCCAGCGCCGTCACCAGAGGCGAGCAGTCCCACGCTGCTTCATCCACCCCAAACAGCGGCGTGACTCCCCTGCTGCTGCTGCTGCTGCTGCTACTGGAACTGTCTCACGCTTACAATCCGTCTCATCTGCACTCACGTTCAAGCTGCTACCACCAGCAGCAGCAGCAGAACTGCCATTACTCTTCAAGCTGGTGCCATTCCTCCCGGGCAGCTGCAGCGCGTCAGCAGTAGCATCAGCAGGAGGCAGCCCCTGCGTGTCCACCCCTCCCAGGAGAATCACCCTCAGAGCGGCCAGTAGCGCCCTCACCAGCCCCATGGACGCGCACAGGGCGCGGTTGCGCGTGCAGGAGAGCAGCACGCGGGCTATGCCCCGCGCCATGCGCGTCCTGGGGGACACCTGGGGGAGCTGAGCAGAGGGTTTCGCTCTAGGTGGTGGCTCTGGGGCGGGCTGAGTTGCAGGTTTGGCAGGGCTTGTGCTTATAGCGGAAGGGACTGTAGCTGGATCTGGGGAGTCAGTTGATGGGGGTTCGGCAGTGGGGGAGTCGGCAGGGGGTGACTCAGCAGCTGACGTGGCAGGATCGTCGCCATCTGAAGAGGACTGGATCGCCTGGGATTGCGCAGTATCAGCAGTTTCAGAATTATCCCCTGTCTCTGCATTCTCAGCCTTCTTTGCTGCAGGTTCGGTTTCAGCGTTGGGAGTGTGAGCAGGAGGCTCGTGACACGGCAGCCATGGCAGCAGCCACGCGCCGAGCCTAGCAGCTTCGGGAGTGAGCATGATCACAGGTCCTCCTCCCTTCATCCACCCCTGCCCACTGCTAACCATACTGCTGTTACTCGTGCCGCTGCTTCCGCCTTCCCCTCTGCCTGACCCTGCCTGGCCTATCTCCTCCTCCTCGTGCCTACCCCCCATGATCGCCAATAGAGTTTCCACGATCAGCCTCGACGTTTCCTCCTTTCCTAGCGAACCCAACGACCCTAGCTCCTCCTCTGTCTGTGTTACCACTTCTTTCACTTCGCCTCCTGGTTCGCGAGCCTCGCTCTCCTTCGCTACCTCGCCTGTCCCAGATTCTTCGGTGTGACTCTCAGCCTCCGTCCCCTCTTCGGGCTCGCCCTCCTTGTTTCTTGAGACGACGCCTTCAACTTCGGTTTCTTCCCCCTTCACATCCACCCCTTTGCTCTCTTCCCCCTTGGCCTCCTCTTCTTCGGTGGTTTCCCCTTCTGTCTTCTGAACAACGTCCCCCGCTTTCCCCTCGGCGCGCTTCCCTTTCGTGAAACTTTCCAAAGTATCCAATCCAGCTGCGATTCGGCGAAGTTTCGTCAACGCCTTCGGGTGGCCCTCGTGAGCCGCTGCATCGATCAGCCGCAGCAGATGCAACGGAATGTCCGGAACAGTCACGACTCCGTGTAAGGGATGAACGGACGCAGAGGAAGCAGCAGCAGCAGCAGCAGCAGAACCAGCAACAGGGGTAATAACAGGACGAGGAGCTGAAACTGACGGACTAAAACCAGAGGCTTTTTGCTCCTGGTATGATCCTCCTGATTCTCCTGCTCCGTCATTGCGCGTCTGCAATTTCCCTAACCCGTGCTCCTCGTGCTGCTGTGACTGGATACCCGAACTCGCCGTATCTTCCGGGATTACTGGGAACGATCTCACGTCTGGAATGATTGTGACAGCGGCAGCGGCGGCGGCGGCGGCGGCGATGGATGAATGCGGCGTGCCTCGCGCTCTGTCCGCTTCTTCCGCTGCGAGAGCCGCGAAACGCTGGAGGGCGGAGTTACCAGAAAGGTCGACTTCGCCAAGCATTAAATCGGAAACGGAAGTGGTAGAGCGAGTGGGACCAGTTCCGTCCCACTTGCTGCGGCCTGCCGATTCCGCCATGACTTTCGTAGTTGCCGAATGATCAAAATGTCATCACCTAAGTCTGATCAATGTCGACAAGAATGCCTCTGACGTCAAAATGTTTCGAGATTTTACAGAAGTGTGTCTAAAACAATCAATGTCCAGAGAAATGCTGCTAAGTAACGCGAATGTTTTTATGGATGCGCCACTCCCTGGCCAACATTGTGCTTCCGGCTCTCCCTGATAACTAGAATCTCCCTGATGCCGGAGAAATGTCTAACACACAACTATGATGCCTGTCAAAGATAGGGTGATCCTCCTGCCTGGTGAAATGTTCCTTGAATAATCTTGAGGCTGTCTTGGTCCCCCTCCAGAATGGCGAGATCCAGCAGCGGAAAAATCGGTGGAGGTGGTTGATGTTGGTTGGTGGTGCCTGGTGCAGGAGGAACATCAAGATCAACCGCCCCCGATCGTTCGTTCACTGGTTTGAAGTCCGTTTCAAAGGATGCAATAGCTTTTGAGTGCGATGCAGTGAGGTGGGGGATTGATCATCCTAAAACTTACTACCACCTTCTGGTGGCAATTAATATTGATTGGCCATTTGCACTGAATGTATGCTTAAATAATTTATTTCGCCTTTAATTTGGATTATGTAGCTTGGTTATTTAGCCAAGTACGTGTATTTTGTCTTTCACTGGATCTTGCATTGTTTTTCATTGAGACCTGAATTCATGATTTGCAAATATGCTAAGTAAAATAGCGTGTATCAAAACAGCGTTTTCTCCACAACGCGGACACAGCCTCAGCTCCTCTTCCATCTCTTAGGGCGCGTCACCTCTGGTGGTAACCAGCAGTTCGAACGTCCGAATTCTGGGGGTTGAGTTTGGTACAGTACGTTTTGGAAATCAGCCAGTCTGGTTTAGTACGGTGCACGTTCTAACAGTCCCATTCGAACGTCCGAGGTGACGCGCCCTTAGCTTGGGTTTGGTCGCATTTTTGGGATTGCCGTACCTCCTCCACCTGCCTCGATCGATCTTGCCCCCACAATTTTGCTCTCATCATCACCTGCCTCCTCCATTTCGGTTGGGCATTGGCGTCTCCCATCCCATTTTCGTTGACCATTTTCACGTGGTGATGCAACATGTCGATTGGTGTTCTTTGATGCAATTGCGCTTTGTAGGCACTTTGAACACCTTTGCAAGCAGGCTGTAGGGACTTGTGAAACCGAAACCTTCAGCTGGGAATGTTTCTTATGCGTCCGTGAAGCATAGAGCACGCATGGTTCGGTCAGGAATGCGAGGCGAGCGCTGCGTTGAACAGCTCAAAAAAACTGCCTTTTACGGGTGAATTGTTTCCCAGCGCTTCAAGATAAATTGCCGAAGCGAACCAAATGCGAGAATAGCAGGAGAACCGGATCAAGTGCGTTTTACGCGACGATATGGATAGGCGACAATTCGGAGGGTCGGTGCATCGCACGGGATCCGACACCACTGCGAACCGCTCTGCATCGAGCTCCGACGCGCCGGTTCATCGCACGGGATCGGCTGTCGTTAAGAAGAAGAAGCTCGTTCAGACTCGTCCAGTCGCATCAGGCTCAAGGTACGGAAGAGATTATCAATCAAGCTGGAATGACATTTGAGACGTATCAAATGTCGTTAAGAAAAAGAAGCTTGTGCAGACTCGTCCAGTCGCATCAGGCTCAAGGTACGGAAGATCCTATCAGTCAAGCTGGAATGCTTGCCGATCTTTAGGTTAAGGATGCTGTTTCATTCCTCTTTTGAGCTGCTTGCGCTCTGCATGTGTGGTTTCTTAAAATTTTGAAGTAATGTAGGTATTGTGTCAGGGCGTGTCCCACTTCGGGTCAAGAGTACTGTACATGTCATCCGAACTTCTTGGACGACCAATAGGGTGCATTTCAGCTCCACTACTCGAATACCATTGGTCGTCCAAGAAACTCGGATGACCCCAACTGATTCTTGACCCGAACTGGGACACGCCCTCAGAATCAACGCTGTTTGGAGTCAACATTTATTGTCAAATTATGAATGCAAAATCTTAATCTCTTAGCAGCCTCCTTGAGTGTACAAGTAGGAATTTGTGCAGATGGCGCAAAGTCACCTATCGCGTCGCGGTTAGACATCCCACATTGTTGGTGCGTTCACCTGTCCTCTAATGCACCCACCAAACCACCCTTACTGCGTCGGCAACCCTTTCCTTTTACAGATCCCCCCAACCTGGCTCTCCCCGAGCCTCCTCTCCGAAGCATGGCCCCGCTTCACCCAAGCCTCTCATCCTCCACTCGTCCAAAGCCGCACCTCCCTCAGTCCCCACCCACATGATCCCCTTGGACACAGACGAGCTATCCCCCTACCCGTCTTCTGGCTTCCAGAGCCATCAGCAGCAGCAGCAGCAGCAGCAGCATAAGGCAGGTACCTCCTCCTCTGCTTGGTTCACCAAGGAAGACGCTGATGACATTCTTGGCGCTGCGGGGTTGTCAAGCGGGAAGTTTCCCTCGGGAATTGCTGGAATCGCGGCTGTAGCGGCTCAACTCGCCCGCGCTGCTACAGCCGCGTCCCCCCCGCGCCGGCCACCTGGTGGGAGGGAAAGCGGGCCGGAAAGGGAGAGATATGACCCTGAAAAGCAGTACCTGACTCAGCCTAGTGGTGTTCTGTCTGGGTTTATTGAAAGGAAGTTCAAAACCCCGCCCAAGCAGCAGCAGCAGCAGCAATACCAGCAGCAGGCACATGGAGGTGGTTTGGGGTTCGGAGGAACAGGAGCAAGTCCGGAATTTGGTGTTCCGAAGCGATCAGGTTCAGGAACTGGCCGAGCCATCCTAGGCTTGGGAGTGTCTCCTGACCGCCCCTCCAGCTCCACCGGCCGATCCTCCAGCTCTGGTGGCCGAACCGCTGGTGCAGGTCTGGGTGCTAGTAGGGGGAGCGGTTATAAAGGGGGCGGTGGCTGGGGGGGGAGTGATAAAGGGGAGGAGGACGAAGGGTGGGGGGCAGAGGTTGAGACAGATGAGTGGGATAAGAGTAGCACGGGTGGGTGGGAGGGACTAGGGCTAGAAACTGCAGTGTCAGTGAAGCCCTCAAAAGGTGTTACTACCAGTAGCACTGGTGTTGCTATTAATAGTGGTGTTTCCAGCAGCAGTGGTGTTGCCAGTGGTGGTGCTGCTGGGGGTGCTGCTGGTGGTGCTGCTGCTGCTTCTGCTGCTGCTGCTGCTGGTGCTGATGTTGATAGTGACGATAGTAGCAGCAGCGGAGGTTGGGATAATTCTGATTGGGAATCTCTATCCCCTGTAGCTGCCACTGCTGCTGGTGGGCATGCCGTGTCTTCTTCTGCCGCTGGTGGGCTTTCCTTGTCTTCTTCTGGAGCGCGACTGGCGGAAGACGTTAGGGGAAGGAGAGGCAGGGGATTGGGGGTTGATTCTTTGAACAGGCCCAGTGACGGAGGAAGGGGAGGGGGAGGAGGGGGAGGGGATGGGGAGTGGCGGAGCAACAGAGGGGGAGTGGGGGTGAAGGGGGGAAGCGGGGGGAGCGGGGATTGGGGGAACTGGGGCTCGTGGGATGGGGGCGAGACAAAGGCAGGCGGAAGGTCCCCCTCCTGGGAGAGTAAATCCGGGGGAGGCGGGGGCGGAGGGGGAAACTGGGGGTGGGGAGGTTCACCCAGGGGGGGTGGTATTGGGGCGGGGGGCGCAGGGAGAGGGGGAACGGGGGGAGGGGGGATGGGGAGCGGGGGGAAGGTAGGGGCAGGCGTGCCGTTATCATCCAGGAAAAAGAGAAGGAGAGGAGTGATTTTGTGTTGCCTGGTTAGTTCTGTAGTGATGGTGGTGCTGCTGCTTATGGTGGGGTTTATAGGAGGCTTTTCAGCTCAGTCTAGGGTGAGGAGAGACGGTGGCAGTGTGAGTGGCAGTGAGAACAGCAGTGCGACCAGCAGCGACTTTGGTGTTAGTAGCAACGACCCCAGCAGCAGCAGCACCAGCACCAGCAGCAGCAGCACCAGCAGCAGCAGCGGTAGCAACGGTGGCAGTAGCAGTGGGGTTGGTGGTGGTGGCAGTGGTAGTAGCGGTGTTGATGGTGGTGGGGATTCTTCCTCTGCTATAGGAACCTTTGCTCCAGTCACACCAGACACATCCTTACTCAACGGCTTAGCAACTAAGGGAGAGGAGGGCGCTGCTGTGCTGAGAGCAGATACTGCTGGTGCTGGGGCAAGCGTGGGGCAACAGCATACTCCTGGGCTGCTGGGTGCAGGGGAAGGAGGAACAGGGCAGCTGCTAGATCAGAGGAGAGAACAGGAAACGCAGGGAGAAGGTTTGAGAGAGAGGGATGTGGGGAGGAGAGGAGAAAGTGGGATGGAGAGGGAGGGAGTCGGGGAGGCTGCAACTGAGGAAGGTGGTACTGAGGACGGGGATATAAGGGTTAGTGGGCGGGTAGGGCCTCGTGGACGGGGGAGGGTTGCGGGCAGGGTGGGGCAGGATGGGATGGGGAGAGGAGGCACTGGACGGGTGGGTGTGAGAGAGGGCGGGATTGGAGTCGCTAGCGGCGATGCTGTTGGTTCTGCTCGTGCTGGCACCGCTGGTGCTTATGCTGCTGGTGGTGGTGCTGCTGGTGGTGGTGTTGGTATGAGAGGCACTGGAGCTTCTACTGGCGTGGAGGGTCCTGATGACACTGTGCCAGAGGATTCGTTAAGAGGTGACCCGGTATTGGAAGCAGCAGCTAGGCTTGTGGGAAAGCGATCCAGAGCAGAGGACGAGGAGCTGGATGGAGAAGGGGCAGCGGAAGTGGAGGTGGAAGCAGAGGGGCAGGTGGGCGGGCAGGTGGGCGGGCAGGTGGGCGGGCAGGTGGAAAGAGCAGGAAGGGTGGAAAGGCAGGGGCGGATGGAAAGGCAGGGGCAAGTGGAGAGGAGTGGTGACGAGTGGAGAGGGAGGGGGAGGGAGACAGAGGGGGAAGAGGGTGAAAGAAAGGAGGAGGAGGGAAGAAGGGGACAGTCTGATATTGAAATTGCACAGGATGAGGGGGAGATAGCAGAGGGAGAAGGGGAGGCGCTAAGGGAGGAGAGAAGGGGAGGAGACATGGGGAGAGGAGACGAAACGGGAGGAGAAGAGAGGGGAGGAGGCGAGAGGGGGGGAGAGGAGAGGGGAGAGGAAGATATTGGAAGGGAGGAGAGGGGAGGAGGTGAGGGTGAGGATCTGCAGCAGCAGCAGCTGCTGAGAGAGCGAGAGATTGTGAATCAGGGAGTTGTCGTTCCTGAAACAACCCCACAGAGCTTACCGTACAGTGGGACTGGCAGCAGGGCTGGTGGGATGATTGGGGGAGTTTCTAGTGATAGTGAGAGAGAAGGGGTTTGGGACGGTAAGAGAGGGAGGGGGGGTGAGAGGGGGAGAGGGGGAGATGCAGAGGATGGGGTGGAGGTAGATCAAGAGACAGAGAGTCACCATGTGCGCACAGGGGCTTTAAGGGATGAAGGGGAAGGGGAGGGAGAAGGGGAAGGTGAAGGAGAAGGGTTGGCAGGGGAAAGGGCAGGGGTAGGGGTAGAAGGAGGGGGAGGGAGAGGGGAAGGAGAAGGGGCAAAAATAATAGATATTGCGGGGAGAGCTATGGATGTTGCAGATGGAAGGGGGAGAGAGCAAGTATCAGATCTTACAGGGGACTTTGACTCCAGAGGAAGCCGGGGTTGGGCAGGGCAGGCAGAGGGTACGTTAAGGCAGAATCAGGAGCCGCTGGGGCAGGCACAGGGTGTGCTTGGGCAAACACAGGGTGCAGCAGGGGAAGCAGAGGGCGAGAGGAGTGTGGGCATAGGGGATGTAAGAGGGGACGCAGGAACAAGGAACGCAGGAATGAGGAACGCAGGAATGAGGAACGCAGGAATGAGGAACGCAGGAATGAGGAACGCAGGAATGAGGAACGCAGGGGCAAGAGAGGGAGAAGGAGAGGCTAAGAGACATGAGGAGGATGATGAGGTGCTGCGAGGACTGGGAGGAGTGGAGGGGGAGGAGGAAGAGGCTGGGGAAGGTGGCAGTGGCACTATTGCTGCTGCTGCGGACGGGAGCATTGATGCTGCTGCTGCCGACGGGGGCATTAATACTCGGGTTTCTGGTTCTGATGATGGCTCTGGTTCCGGTGCTGGTGCTGGTACGGGAATTACTGCTGCTGGTGGTGTTGCTGTTGCTGGTGCTGCTGCTGGTGGTGCTGGTGCTGGTGCTGGTGCTGCTGCTGCTGCTGGTGGTGATCTTAGTCGTGAGATGGGAGGAGGGGACGTGCAGGGACTGGAAGCTGTGCAAGATGATGCAGAGGGGGAAGATGAGCGGAGGGAGGGAGGCGGAGAAGGGAAGGACGATGGGGGGGAGAAGGAGGAGGGTGAGGAAAAGGAGGATCAGGAGGAGAAGGAGGGGGATGGGGAGAGAGAGCGAGATAGAGCAGGGGATGTTGAAGGAGAGGGAGAGGAGGGTGGAAGCACGGAGGGGGATGGGGAGGGGGATGGAGATGGGGAAGGAGACGGGGATGGGGAAGCAGGTGTGGGGATGGGAGGGGAGGGTGATTTGGATGGGGGAATGGAGGGAGAGATGAGGGCGGCTAAGAGAGTGCGTAGGAGGAGGAAGAGGAGGGGGGCGGCTGCCGCTGGCCAGAGTAGTGACAGCAGCCGCAGCAGCAGCAGCAGTGACAGCCTCAGGAGCGGCCGTGGCATCAGCAGTGGAAGCATAAGCAGCGGCAGCGTCTCCAGCAGTAGCGGAAGCAATAGCGGCGGTGCCAGCATCAGCAGTGGCAGCGGCAGCAGCAGAAGCAGCAGCAGCAGTTTGGGTGGTAGTGAAGGAGGCGTAATCAGGAAGGAGGGGTCAGAATGGGGTTCAGCCATGGCAGATGGTGACAGGCAGGAGAGTGTAGGTCAGCAGCAGCAGCCAATGCAGCAACAGCAGATGCAGCAACAACCAGCGCAGCTGCCACAGTTGCAGCAAACACGAGAGAGAGTGGGGACACAGGTGCTGGGCCAAGTGGACAGTGTTAGATTGCCTCAGCAGACGAACCTGCAGATGCAGCAGGGGCAGATGCAGCAAGGGAAGATGCAGCAAGGGCAGATGCAGCAAGGGCAGATGCAGCAGCTGCAGGCACTGCAACAGCAGCAGGAAACACCCAAGTCTTCCTCAGGTTCAGTTCTGGGTTCAGGTGCAGGTTTTGATTCAGGTCTTCAGCCAAAGTCAATTCCAGGTTCAAGTTCAGGTTCAGTCTCAGGTTCAGGTTCAGGTTTAAATTCAGACCCTATTCTTGGGCTTGACGAGGCAGAGAAGCTGCTGAGGGATGTGCCTCTCTCTGATGACGTGGCAGTGGATAAATCATCATCATCTCTGCCTGCATCCACCTCAGGTCTGCCCACATCCACGTCAGCATCATCCACTTCACTCCAAGCACGGTCACAGCAACAGAATCTGCTGACCAAGCCAGCCTCCTCGCTCCATGCTGCCACTCCTGTTATTTTCACTCCCGCCATTGCAACTCCTGCTATTGGAACTCCTGCTACCGTTACAACTACCTCTGCTCTGGTTACTACCAGCAAAGCCATCCTTTCTCCCAGCCCTTTGGTTACCACAAGTAGCACAACAGGGGCCACAGCAGGAACCATGGCAGGAGGAGGTAGAATGGGAGAGTTAGCAGGAGCACTAGCAGGTGCAGGTGCTGTGGAAATAGCAGGCAAAGGTATCACAGGTGGAGGTACATCAGGTGGGTTAGCAGGGACAGCAGCAGGTGTAGGTGTTGGGGGAAAAGCAGCCACAGGAGGCACCACAGGAGGAGGCACAGGCGTAACAGCAAGGACAGCAGCAGGTGGAGGTGTTGTGGGAACAGCAGGCACAGGAGTCACAGGAGGCACCACAGGCGGCACCACAGGTAGCACCACAGGAGGAGGCACAGGATCAGTAGCAGGGACAGCAGCAGGTGGAGGTGTTGTGGGAACAGCAGGCACAGGAGGAGGCACAGGCGTAACAGCAAGGACAGCAGCAGGTGGAAGTGCCATCATGCTTCGTGGCGCCGGTTCCACATCTGCCACATCACTACCTGCATCACCTGCCACGTCACCACCCACATCACTTGCCACGTCACCTCCTGCATCAGCTGCCACGTCAGCAGCAGCGCTGAAGCCAGTAGCAGGAACAGCAACACCATCAGCTCCGACAACACCATCAGCAACACCACGGCCAGGAGCAGCGTCTCCGTCATTAGCAGCATCTGTGGAAAAGCCATTGCCTGCCACTCCTGGAGCAGCAGCTGTAGCACAGTCACTGCCTGCGACTTCTGCTGCTGGAGCAGCTGTGGCAAAGCTAGTACCTGCCACTCCTGCAGCAGCTGTAGCACAGCCATTGCATGCCACTCCTGCAGCAGCAGCTGTAGCACAGCCGACCCTCCTCAGTCCACTGTCAGCAGCTGTAGCAACCAAATTCCCCCCAAGCACAGCTACAGCAGCTGCTATCGGCACATCTCCCCCTGTCGGTGGCACGTCTATCCCCGTCACCCCCACATCTACCCCCAAGACTATTCCCATCACTGCCACATCTACCCCCACTGCCACTACTATCCCCACCACCACCAAGCCTACTCCTATCACCACGTCTCCCATCCACACATCGACCCCTACCACTTCAGCAATTTCCGAAGCTGACAGCCAGGCATTGGCCAAACTCATGAAAGGGAAGCCAGGTTCGGGGGTTGGAGGTTCGGCGGCTGGAGGCTCAGGTGCAGTTGCAGGCTCGGCACCAGCCACGCCAGCAGCCTTGGCCAAGCCAGCGCCCGCAGTCTCCAAGCCTGCAGCGTCTGTTCTTCCTTCACCAACAGCAGGAGCAACAGCAGCAGCAGCAGCAGCAGCAGGAGCAACAGCAGGAGCAGCAGCAGCAGGAGCAGCAGGAGCAGCAGGAGCAGCAGCAGCAGCAGCAGGAGCAGCAGGCACAAGTCAGGCCAAGCCAGTGTCAGGCACTCAAGAAGCAGCTAAGCCACAGACTCTTCCAGCTACTGGTGCGGCTGTTGCTGCTGGTGATGCTGCTGCTGCTGTTGCAAGCCCGGCCAAACCAGCAGCAGGTGGTGCTGTTGCTGGGAGTACTGGCGGAGCTTCTGCTGCTGCTTCTGCTGCTGCTGCTGCTGCTACTTCTGGTGGGTCTGCCAATGCTGTTCCTGCCCGTTCTGCTACTGGTGCAACTAGCGCTGGTGCTGCTGGTGGTGCTGGTGCTGCTGGTGGTGTTGCGTCTGTCAAACCTGCAGCATCAGCTGCTTCAGGTGCCAAGCCTGTCAGCCCTACAAAGGTTACCTCTGCACCAGTTACATCTGCACCAGTATCATCTGCACCAGTTACATCTGCACCAGTTACATCCGCACCAGTTACATCCGCACCGGTTACATCTGCCAAGGTTACCTCTGCACCGGTTACCACCTCACCAGGTGGTGCTGCTGCCGCTGCAGGCTTGATTGCTGATGTGGCTGGTGGTGCTAGTGCTGGCACTGCTAAAGCTGGTGCCAGTGTAGCAACAAGCAACAGCATGCAAGATAAAACAACAAAGACAAGTGCGGCGTGAGCCTGAACTCTTTCATACATAGAAATTGTGACATTCTATTGTTGAGGGGTGTAGGTGCGGGGTAGCTGAAACTTTGGGTTGAGTTTACACAAAGTGCCAATGATTTTAGAAGTGTACTTTGCCACAAACGACCAACTATCTCACATTTATGCCGTCCCTTGCAATTGCAACTTTTTACCACACCACCGACAGTCCTGGGAATGTCGAGCGAGTCTGCTTTTCCATCCAACCGTTGGATATATCAAATCGACCACTCTAGCTCAAAAATCCATCTTTCTAAACCGTATTGAGTTCGTCGCACATCATCATTTCCCCCCACATCCCCTCCTCCCCATCCCCCCCTCACCAAAGCCCCCTTTCCCCGTCGCCAGTCTCTTCTTGGGAATTCCGCGCCCATTTTCGACCTTGACAGCTGGAGCCAACAGACCAGATCAGGCGATGCTACACGCTAGAGAAAGCCATGAGAATACCAGAGAACGACTGAGCATTGGCCGACTTCAATTCATGGACGTTCTAGGAGATTAGTTGCCAGGTATTGATAGAAAATCTTAGTTGCCAGGCATTGAGAGGTTCTTAGTTGCCAGGCATTGATAGGCTGAGCGAACAAACTTCTGCATCCGTTTCGTACTGCTCGCTTTTCGCGCTCGCCACTTCATCCCGCCTCCGCATCTTCGCCAGCCGTTCGGAATCCAAGGCCCGATATTGGGCAGCGGACTTGCGGATTCGCGAATTTGCTTCCACCTTGCTGACATTTCAAGCGACAGCTAGAAATAAAATCCGCATCAGAGACTGCCTCTCTGCTTTTGAGGCGCCTCAAAAGGCTGCCTCCCTGCTGGCATTTTTTTGCTATTTATTGGCACTGTGATCATATCAGCCCCGAAGCCATGGCTTATACACCTCGCGCTGTCTTTCTGGTCGCCGCTATTATTCCCTTACTCCTCCTGCTCTCCTCTCTTCCGTCCGCCGAGCCCGCCCCGGAAAGGGGCGGCAGAAGGGGCGGAGGTAGGGGCGCGGGGAGAACCGGCTTGCGTCCCGATCCGCGCTCGCGGAGGGGAAACGCGCGACTTTCCGCATCACGATCCATCTCCCCCGCCGCTTCCCGCCGCTCCGCCTCCGCCTCTTCCACCACTCTCTCCGCCTCCGCCTCTTCCGGTTCCGCCTCCGCCGCAGCGTCTGCGGAGAAACCCGCGGGCTGCAGCTGCTACACCGTCCGCAACTCCTTCTGCTGCTGGCAGTCGCTGTGCGTCTGCCACAACGTGTGCTATAACGGATCCGCTCTTGTCGGGGATTTCGGTTCGCAGCCCTGCATCCGCGCGCCGCTCCCGGAGGTGGCGGAGAATCTCGCGGGAAACGAGACTGCCCGCGAAAAGCGGCGGCGGCAGCGGCTGCTGCAGGAGGAAAACCCTCTCGTACCGGTGACGTGTCGCCGATTGGATAAATTCCGCCGGATTTTACGGATCACTTTAAAGGAGGCGCCTCTAGACGGGATAGGGCAGCGCGACAAGGGGTAAGCCGTCAGGCATTTGCTACCTCGCAAAAGTCAGTATAATGAGGCGTCTGAAGACGGAGCACATTCGAGCCGGCACGACGTACCTGCAGCTTCTGGACGCGGATTGTCTCACCAGCGAATCATTCATTCCCTCCTTACCGAGGTGACTTTTGAACCATCGAACCGCGGAAGTGTTTACTCTGCAAAAGTCACCTCGGATTGTCTCACCATCAAATCATTCATTCCCTCCTTACCTCCTGCCCTCTCTCCTTCCTCCCTCGATTCACTTCCTCACCCCCCTGGTAGGTGGCGCAATGGCTGGCCAGGACAGCATTGAGTGGTGAGCGGGCACGACGTGTCGGCAGCTTCTCCCATCTTTTGAGTTTCAACGTTACCATCCTCTTCCTCTTCCTCTTCCTCTTCCTCTTCCTCTTCCTCTTCCTCTTCCTCTTCCTCTTCCTCTTCCTCTTCCTCTTTCCCTCAACCCTCGTCCCCCTCTGGCAGGTGGCGCAAGGCCCGAGACAGCATAGAGTGGCGGAAAGGCACGACGTATCTGCAGCCGCTGGACGCGGACAGCCTCAACAATGCCTCATACTTTCCCTCCTTACCTCCTTCCCTCCTTTCTCCCTCCCTCGTTTCCCTTCCTCACCCCCCTGGCAGGTGGCGCAAGGCCCGAGACAGCATAGAGTGGCGAAAAGGCACAACGTACCTGCAGCCTCTGGACGCGGATTGCCTCAACATCGCATCATTCTTTGGTACGAGCCTCCTTTGTTTGCACAGTTCTTACATTCTACTACACTGCCTGTCACTCAATCACTCACTCACTGCCTATCGCTCCCTCCTCCCTTCTCGCTCTTGCCCTTCCTTCCACCTCCCTCTACTCTCCCTTCTCCATCACTCCCCCATCTTTTAGTTATTTTAACTTCTCAAAGGCCCAGATCGGCTGCCACCACTTGCAGCCTCATATTTGAAACCTCTAGTTCTGAGACAGCTATCTTGATGTGACTTTCGAGAATTCTCAAAAGTCCGAAACGTAATCATCTCCGGAAACTCAGCAGGTTTCCCGCTTCTCTTTACCTCCACGCTGTCGGTCGCTTCATGTGTCCAGCTTATCGCCCTCGCCCCTCGCCCCTTGCCCTGCGCCCCTTGCTCTGCCCCTTGCCCTGCGCCCCTTGCCCTGCGCCCCTTGCCCTGCGCCCCTTGCCCTACCCCTTGCCCTGCGCCCCTTGCCCTACCCCTTGCCCTGCGCCCCTTGCCCTACCCCTTGCCCTGCGCCCCTTGCCCTGCGCCCCTTGCCCTACCCCTTGCCCTGCGCCCCTTGCCCTGCGCCCTTCGCCCCTTCCTTCCCCCACCTTCCTCCTCCCCCTGTCCAGGCAAGGTGGGTCAGCTCCTTCTGATCAACAATGCCTCCAAGCCCTCCTTACCCCACGCTGTGGATCGCTTCATGTTCCCACGCGCCCCCCAGCTGCTGCAAGCGTGAGTCCCACCTTATTCCTCTCTAAGCTTACATTGCTCTAAGCCTGCCTTATCACACCCAGTGGATAGATTCGTGTCCACACGCGCCCCCCAGCTGCTGCAAGCGTTTGTGCTCTGCAACTCCTCATGCTTTTCCATGTCACTCTCAGTCAACCATCCACACAGTGTGCAGAGCAGGCAGCTGGCTTTTGAGGCGCCTCAAAAGTCTTTTCCATGTCACTCTCAGTCAACCATCCACACAGTGTGCAGAGCAGGCAGCTGGCAATGACAGCTGGCACGTGGTGGTGTTGGCTCCTGGGCCGTGCCAGGTAATGCCTGAGACGGCAGTGTGGCCTGGGTTTGGATACCTGGGCTTCAATGCATGGCCTATGATCGATCCTTGTCTGCCCCTCTCCCTTTCGATCCTCCCATCAGGTTGCAAGCAGCGGGCAAGGACAGCTGGCACGTGGTGGTGCTGAGGCAGCTGCTGGGGTTAGCAGTGTTTCCCCTTCTCATGCTGCTCACTCTTTTCCCCTCTTCCCCTGTCCCTCCCATCAGGTTGCAAGCAGCGGGCAGGGACAGCTGGCACGTGGTGGTGCTGAGGCAGCTGCTGGGGTTAGCAGTGTTTCCCCTTCTCATGCTGCTCACTCTTTTCCCCTCTTCCCCTGTCCCTCCCATCAGGTTGCAAGCAGCGGGCAAGGACAGCTGGCACGTGGTGGTGCTGAGGCAGCTGCTGGGGTTAGCAGTGTTTCCCCTTCTCATGCTGCTCACTCTTTTCCCCTCTTCCCCTGTCCCTCCCATCAGGTTGCAAGCAGCGGGCAAGGACAGCTGGCACGTGGTGGTGCTGAGGCAGCTGCTGGGGTTAGCAGTGTTTCCCCTTCTCATGCTGCTCACTCTTTTCCCCTCTTCCCCTGTCCCTCCCATCAGGTTGCAAGCAGCGGGCAGGGACAGCTGGCACGTGGTGGTGCTGAGGCAGCTGCTGGGGTTAGCAGTGTTTCCCCTTCTCATGCTGCTCACTCTTTTCCCCTCTTCCCCTGTCCCTCCCATCAGGTTGCAAGCAGCGGGCAGGGACAGCTGGCACGTGGTGGTGCTGAGGCAGCTGCTGGGGTTAGCAGTGTTTCCCCTTCTCATGCTGCTCACTCTTTTCCCCTCTTCCCCTGTCCCTCCCATCAGGTTGCAAGCAGCGGGCAAGGACAGCTGGCACGTGGTGGTGCTGAGGCAGCTGCTGGGGTTAGCAGTGTTTCCCCTTCTCATGCTGCTCACTCTTTTCCCCTCTTCCCCTGTCCCTCCCATCAGGTTGCAAGCAGCGGGCAAGGACAGCTGGCACGTGGTGGTGCTGAGGCAGCTGCTGGGGTTAGCAGTGTTTCCCCTTCTCATGCTGCTCACTCTTTTCCCCTCTTCCCCTGTCCCTCCCATCAGGTTGCAAGCAGCGGGCAGGGACAGCTGGCACGTGGTGGTGCTGAGGCAGCTGCTGGGGTTAGCAGTGACGCCAATACTGGGAGAAACGGCCCTCAAAAAGGCCAGCATGGCCGCTAGGAGGTGAGGGACTGGGTGTGTCGCATGGGTGAAATGCTGCTGGGTGTTGAGGGTCAACTTCTAACAGGGGTGGTGAAGCAGCTGCTGGGGCAGGCATGTGTGGGGCAGGCATCTGTGGGGCTGGCAGTGGCGCCGATGCTGGGGGAGACGGCCCTCAAAAAGGCCAGCATGGCCGCTAGGAGGTGAGGAGTGCTGCAAGGCTCTTGCGTTGACACGGGTAGGTAGTGAGGCAGCTGCTGGGGCTGGCAGTGACGCCAATGCTGGGAGAAACGGCCCTCAAAAAGGCCAGCATGGCCGCTAGGAGGTGAGGGAGTGCGTGTGGCATGGGCTGGACTAGGAGGTATTCTTGATACAGGTGGTGTTTAGGTTCTAGCTCTAACATGGGGGTTAGTGAGGCAGCTGCTGGGGCTGGCAGTGACGCCAATGCTGGAAGAGACGGCTCTCAAGAAGGCCAGCATGGCCGTGCGCATGTGAGGTACGCCGATGTGTGTGATGCATGCAGATATGTGTGTGGCATGGGCTGGCTGGTTGTTGCTCTAACACCAGTGCTGAGGCAGATGTTGGGGCTGGCGGCTGCTGGGGCTGGCGGCTGCTGGGGCTGGGGCTGGCGTGGCGGCTGCTGGGGCCAGCAGTGGCGTGTTTCTATGCATGAAGCCTCTGGTCGGGGACCTTGCTAAGTTTGAGCTTGTCCTTTTTCTGTTTCTCCTATTCCGTAATCTCCTGTTTATGTATTTGGATGGGTCTGGATGGGTTTGGACAGGTTTCTTGGCACTGAACCTCTAGCCGGAGGCCTGGTTGAATTCGAGCCAGCATTCGAAGCAGCCTCGGAAACCCGGCCTCTGTGCTTCGGAAAGGTGGTCATCCCGGGGAAACTTAAAGCCATAACTTACCCCGGTGGTCCTTCAGAAGCCGAGATGTTTAAAGCCCACCTCGGGTCGTCCCTCGGCCTGCCCAATCCGCCACTGCCACTTGGCGACAGCCCCAGTGTCCGCGCCAAGCCACGCGTGCAGCTACTGTTCATTCGGAGGAACAGGACGAACGTGGGCGGGCGGCGAATTCTGGACGATGGGAGTGATGGGGCGTTGTACGATCTCTTTTATGACATGGGTTTTAAGGTGAGCAAATCAAGTCCGGGCAAACCTCAGAATGAAATCAATCCCTTATGTTAACAAGGAACCGGTCTCACAAGAGCCCCTTCCCTTCTCTCCCCCCGTTTGTCCTCCCTCAACATGCGCCCCCTCCCTTCTCATTACCCTCAACGCGTACCGCCTTCCCTATCTCCTCCCTCAACATACACCCCCTTCCTTCTCTTTTCCCTCAACACACACCCCCTCCCTTCTCTTTTCCCTCAACACGCACCCCCTCTTTTCTCCTTCCCTCCACCTTCCCCCCTCCTTTCCCTCAGATCTGCTGGGCGGACTTCACGCATCTCTCCTTCCGCCAGCAGTACGAAGCAGTTCTCAATGCAGTTCTCACAAGTAACCCTTCACCTTCTCTCCACCCTCAAAACACACCCCAAACCCCATCTTCAGATTCGTCGGGCGGATTTCACGCGCCTGTCCTTCTGCCAGCAGTACGAAGCAGTTTTCAACTCAGAATTCATCGTGGGGGCACACAGCGCCGGCCTCACAAGTGCCCCTTCCCTTCTCTCCACTACCCAAACCCAAACCCTAACCCCCTATCATCCCGCAGATCCGCAGGGCGGATTTCACGCGCCTGTCCTTCCGCCAGCAGTACAACAAATCCCTTGCCTCTCCTCCCCTTTCCCCTCTCCCCCACATTCCCACTCGTTCCCTTCATCTCTCAGATCCGCAGGGCGGATTTCACGCGCCTGTCCTTCCGCCAGCAGTACAACAAATCCCTTGCCTCTCCTCCCCTTTCCCCTCTCCCCCACATTCCCACTCGTTCCCTTCATCTCTCAGATCCGCAGGGCGGATTTCACGCGCCTGTCCTTCCGCCAGCAGTACGAAGCCGTTCTTAACGCAGAGGTCATCGTGGGGGTGCATGGCGCCGGCCTCACAAGCGCCGCCGCTTTCGCCCGAAACCGGTCCGTCGTTTTGGAAATAATGCCGCACAACACGTTCAACCCGCGGTATTATTTCATGGCGGTCCAGGCTGGCGTGAGTTATTTTCTGCATCAGCTGCGGCCAGGTGCCAAGCAGCCATTGGACGAGGAGTTTGAGACGCTGACGGTGCGGAAGTGCTCCAGTGTTCCCGATTGTCGCAAGTATTTCTATGAGGATCGGCTGGTGAATGTGACTAAAGAGGATTTAGAAGATTTGAAGGTGCTTTTGGGGGAGGCCCGGACGTTTGTGCGTCAGGCTCGGTGGAATTTGAATTGGGCGGGAAAGCGACTGAGGTCACGATACGAGACACTCTGCTCTGCGGGGAAGTCGAGGGATATTGGATGCCGCATGGATTTGATTCGCTCGCCGGTGGCCGATGTGAAGACGGAATGTGTGATGAAGATGGACTGCTTGACAGTCAAGCCTATGTTGGCGGATGACCTGGACGACATCATGTAGCGATTATATATTCATTTTGTGAAGATTACCAAAGCCTTGTGAGTGTTTCTTTGTGTAAGGCATTTGTACTTCAACTATAATTATCCGTGTAACTTTCTGTACATTTTCCCCTGCTGATGTTCGCAGATGGATTACCCACTTCGACTTCCGTTGACCAGGTGGTCTCGAGTGTTGGACACGTGGATGCCCAACAGACGGTCACTCCGGCTTTCAGTAACAGGTAATAGCGTCAAGCCGTCAGTATTGCCACCCGAATGACCTTCGCAGCGGGTGCAAAAACACGATGTGCAATCTACAGTCCCATCGCTGTTCGCTCGCGATCTCGTGGACCACACGCTGACCTCGTAAACCTTTCGTCAACTAGAAGCGACTGATAACAGCTGCGGCACACTGACGGTACGCCCCCATGCGCTGAGGTAGCTGGCAGTCAACGACCAGACACCAACTGGCAGCTTCGCTAACGCGTGAATCATCTTCGCCAACCAGATCATCGCTTTCGCCGAGACGCGCGCAAATTCTCCTCTCCCCCCTCCCTCGCCGCGTTTCGGAATAAATCTCAGAAGCCTGGCCGATTCCATTTCCATTTCCAAATTCCAACCCACCGTTCCATTTCCAATTCCATTCCAAGTTCTTAGGTTCTGAAACAAGATTAGAAGCTTTCACACAACGGAAAGCAAGTTCGAAGCGCCCTTTTCAAGCAAGGCAAGATAAACGTGAACATATAGATAAGCGTGCTTAATACTCTCATATATGCGAAATCAGGAAACTCTTCTCAAGCTCCGACAGCTAGATAACTGGAGTCCAGACAGGTAGCAGTAGTGCGCACTATACCAAACGCTTAGCCGAATTCAAGTGTTATTTGGTAGTAAAACCAGCGTTCGATCGCAAACGCCTCGTCAGTTTAATCACATTTACTTGGTAGTGCCAGTTCCTTAAAACTCGGAACCCTCTTGACTTTCCGAGGGCTTGTGTGGTGATGAGTGAGCCTCGTATCGAGGACTCCTCCCGTAGTTTGCGGATGCGCGCCAGCCTTAACGCAACAATTGCCACGTTCGCAACCGCTCGTCTGGCAGACGGCATGACCAAGGCTGAAGGAAAGAGGCGACGCAGCACGGGGGGGATTCTAGAGCGTATGGAACCAGCAAGAACTGAGCACGCGGAGGGGGTCTTGAGGGGGAAAAGGACATGGAACACGATCTGCGAGTGCGTGAGCTGGATGAGTCAGCAGCACGCCTCTGCAGCAGCTGGTCCTGCTGCTGCTCCATCTCTTTGTGAAGGCTGCCGTGAAGGGCGGCAGGACGTAGCAGCAGCAGCGCCACAGCCGCAGCATCGTGGGAAGAAGCGTGTTAGAGGTGAAGGCGAGTGCAAGAGCCTGGAATCGTGGGGGTGCCATGGAGAACAATTCTGGAATTTTGAGTCGACGAGTGATACATTACAGCGCCAAGGGGAGTGCAAGAGCCTTGACGATGATTGGACGCCTGAGGCAGCGGCGTGCAGTAGTGACGATGTTCAATTGCTGCAGCAGCAGTACCAGGAGCAGCAGTATCAGCAGCAGTACCAGCAGCAGCAGCAGCAGCAGCAGCAGCAGCAGCAGCAGCAGCTCGATGTGTTTGGGGGCCTGGCATTGTCTCCCCATGCTGTGACAGCCTGCCATGCTCTGCTGGGGGAAACAGCCGGTGCCTTTTCTGATCACAGCACTCAGCTGGAGCACACACAGGTGGCGCTGCTGGCGTTGCTGTGTGCAGCCCTGAAGGAGCTCCTTCGGCGCGCGTGTAATGAAGCTGCCGCTGCTTCTCCCGGTGTCCCTGCTTCTGTTTCTGCTGCTTCTGCCTCTGCTGATGTCTGTGACAGGAGTAGTGCTTTAGAGCACACAGTATCTGCTGTGCAGACGGTGTTGAAGCAGTATTTGACAGCTGCAAGGGCGTCTAGTGGTTCAGAGGGACCTGATGCAGAATTCCTGCAGCGAGTTCTCAGGTCATTCATGCCCTTGGCTGCTGTTACTGCTGCCTCTGCTGCTACGCCTGGCACTGCTGCTGTTGCTGACGCTGCTGGCGCTGCTGCTGGCGTAGGCCCAAGTCACGGAATGCCACATGCTGCCCACTCTGCTCCTGAGGAGAGTGCTTCTAGCCCTTGCATATTCAGAGTCTGTGGCACTCATACTACTACAGGCCTCTTCAGTGCAGAGGAGGAGGGGGCGATGCAGAACGCTCAAGAGGCAGGGTCAGTGCGAAGAGAACAGGGCTCGCCGCGGGGATCGCCGCCAACACCTGTGCGGAAATACAGGGGAGTGAGGCAGAGGGGCCCTGGAAAATGGGTGGCTGAGATCGAAGATGCCGCCCGGAATATCCGCCGGTGGCTCGGAACGTTCTCCTCGCCCGAAGCTGCTGCCCGCGCTTTTGACAAAGCTGCCCGGGAACTGCGTGGGCCCAATGCAAAGACGAATTTTCCGCTGCCCGGGACGCCAGATTCGGCAGCCGCTCAGCAAAAACGGGAAGGAGTGATTGAAGGCCCATGTGTTGAGTTGGGCATGGGGGGCTGGTTGCATTGCAGGCCAGAAACGCCGCTAGAGACGCTGCAAATTCCCCTCCCAGGAGTCTCAGCAGCAGTTTTTGAGGCGTCTCAGAAACCGCAAATGCAGCTGAAGTCCGTGCAGGTTCCCCTTCCTTCGTACAGCCCTGTGGATATCGTCTCGCAGCGGCGTAACTCTGCTGGTGGTTCCAGGCCTCGAATGGCAGAAAGAGTTGCAGCTGCAGCGGCGACTGAGGCACCGTTGAATCCACTTGAAAGGCTGTGCGGCCCTCTGAAGGGTAAACCGGCCGGAGGTGAGTCGATGAGCCATGGCGGATGGGTACCAACACCCTGCTTATCTGATGAAACAGCTGAGAAGCAGCAGGCTGATGGCCAGCAAGGGATGCTGCGAGCGAAGGGAATGCCTCAGGAAAGTGGCTTGCATGGGACAGGATCGCCCGAGCTGAAATCTCAGGGAGCGGTGGGACAAACCCAGAGTGCTATGAGTGGAACTCCGCATCCGCATGGCAATTTTGTTGCGATTTCTCCTGCTCCGGCCGTTCACACCCCTCAACCGCGCTCCACCATTGCACATCTCTTGGCAACAATGGTTCATGATAGGGTTGTGAAGGATGAGATAGGTGAAAAGGGAGGTGATGCTGCTGCAGAGGAGAAAAGCGAGGGTAGTTCCCCCTTGTGGGTGACTGATGAGAGTGTAATGCTGAAGGAGGGAGGGGATGCTTGGGATTGGACAGCTCTGCCTTTAGGATGGGAATCTAGTGGTTGTTGTGATGAGAATTAATAGGGGGAAGCATATAATGCGTGTGACGAAAAGGATTCCTAGCTACAGCATTTTTAAGTGTGATTTGTTCGGATAACTGGTAAATAACAGGAAAATGGGAAGAGAGTGTTACCGTAGGTACCTGTTGTACGTTCCACCATCATCGTAGTGAAACCGCTTCTGATTATACGGCTTTCACAATCGCCTCCAGCGGGTTCTAAGCGGTACAGCTGAGTACCGCGTGGTATGACGAATCTTTGTGTGCACGGAAACTGGAAGGAGAGCTAAGGGGAGTGCCCTTAATACTCATCACAAACGTCCTTACAAATATAAATGTCGGGTGTCGAGGTCCGTGTATACACTTGCGGACTACGGTACTCGTTGCGTGTCCATGTTGAAGCGAGTCGTACCACCCTGTAAGTTCGGTCTGATTGCAAGGAAGGAACCGGAAGTTGACCCGCTGGTGGGTACATCCCCAACCGAGAAGAAACTCCAGAAGAAGTGGACCTTTTCTCATTCGCCGTCATTTTTTGTGACGCAATCATTACGTCATCTCTCACCCAATCAGAAATTGGACGAAGCTTCCTGTTAACCGACTCCAATGGGAGAGGACAATCGCTGAGAGCCTGTCAGGAACAGATGCCTCGTACTCAGCTCCCCGCGTTTCTTCTTCACTCAGCAAGGTTGACCTTTGAAAGACACGCGTACGGAAGCAATGTAACGCGAGCATTGCGCCAGCTACTCGCAACGTGAATCAGGAATTTCCCAAGGATGATCTTTTGTTGTAGGCGGAACAACCGCACATTCCCCCATCATTCCTGCCTGTAGATTTCTCTATTTCTTCGATCGTCTCGTTTTCTGTCCGTCGCCGATCATCCTGGTTAGGTGGCGTGGATCGAAGCCCATGCAAAGCACACCAGACCGTCCAAAAAGCATAACCGTGTTTTTCAGCGCAACCACCAAAATGCTCTTTCCTAAATCTGTCCTAAAAGACTGTTTTAGGACAAACACTCTCGTTTCAATTATGCGCGGCAAGCATCGCGGTAGTACCGTACTCTCATCACTGTGTTCCTGGGGTGCCTGTACGTACGTCACATACGATGAGTCATCACCACCAAATGATCTCGCAGCTCATGTTCCCTCTCATAATTTTTCAAAGCTTCGACGGACCAGAGCCATTGCGCAGTGGCAGCGAACCGCGAACCTCAGAAATTTCACCAATCATGGACTCCTTTCGAGATCATCGTCCAGCGTGTTTTGAGACGTCTCAATTCATGGACTCCTTTATTCGAGATCATCGTCCAGCAAGCGGCGAACATTCCAGGGAAGAATCCTCCTCCCAGCCGAACGTCAATGGCCCATTACCGGGTACGAGACCGCCAGAAATCGGTGTTACTAATTATCATCATCGTAATAATCCGGGCGCGCTGAACGGATCAGATGCTGAATGCGGAAATGCGGCCCAGCAACCCGCGTTCCTCGCGTTTGCGAATCTTCTCACGCTTCTGGCAAGCAGGCTGCAGGAAGCTGACAGACACCGTCAACTTGACGGCCAGCCGTCTGCCGCTCCACCTCAAGCTGCTTGCAGTATGCCTGTCGGGCCTTCAAGTGGCGCCAGCAGCCCCAATCCCAGCTTCATGTCTGCTCCAACGCTTGGAGGTCTCGGGTTCGATTCCTGCTGTCAGCCTGATAACGGAGCTTTTAACAAGCAGGTCCGGTCACTCTCATGCCGCATCATTCCAGGGCCCGATTCAGTCACAACTTTTAACAGCGGCTGCCAAGTTTCAGGGCAGGTTTCTGACCGCGCTCAGAGTCACGGGCAACCGACGGAGGTAATAGTACTACAGCATCCTGCCCACGTGGCAAGAACGCTGACACCACCGCTGCCACCTGTCGCTGTTGCAGCTCAAGATCAGATCCATTTCGCAGTGGATTGGCCGCGGGAGAAACGCAGGCGTGCTCGACGGCGGAGGTCGTTTGGAAGCGGTGCAAAGAGACCTGCTAACACTCCTAAACGGAGATTTCCTACTATACAGTCCCCGGGAGCTGAAAAGAAAGCACATGCATCAGCGGCGGCAGCAGCAGCAGCAGCAGCAGTGAGATGCAGTGAATGTGCAACAGACTGCATTGCATCCCCAAGGCCAGCAAATCCAGCAGCAGCAGCAGCTCCAACAGCAGCAGCAGCAGTGGCCGCAGCAGCAGCAGCAGCAGCAGTAGCAACAGCCCCAGCAGCAACAGGAACAGCAGCGGAAGCAGCAGAAAAGCAGGTCCCCACCTCCCTCTAGCACCCCTTCTCCCAAGTACCGGGGAGTGAGGAAGAGACAGTCAGGCCACTGGGTGGCAGAAATAGAGGACACAGCCAAAAACACGCGCAAGTGGCTCGGAACTTTTTCCTCTCCCGAAGCTGCTGCCCGTGCGTTCGACCAAGCTGCCCGCGAGCTCCGCGGGCCCCGGGCAAAGACGAATTTTCCGCTGCCCGAGGAGCCAGCGGGCAGCGGTGGGGAGAGGGATTATGACAGGGAGAGGGTTGGGAGAAAAAGGTTTCGAAAACGAAGTGTGGGGTTACGCGGGGGTTCCGACTCTGCTGGTGGCGATGGGGATGGGGTAAGTTACCCCAAAAATGTGGGTGGGATTTGTGATGGTGGTGAGGGTGGAGAAGGGTCGTTATCCCCTAGAAAGAATGCAGCACTATGGGAGGGGACCAGCAGCGTTGGCATGAGAGAAGTATTGTCAAATGGGGTGTCGGGCCTCAGAGGGAGTGTTAGTAATGGTAAGGAGCAGGATAAGCCGGATGGGGAGGAGGATAGAGAGGAGGCTGGAGAGGAGAGTGGGGAGGGGAGTGCTGAGGGGAGTGGGGAGGAGGATGATGGAGGGGTGGATGGAAGGGAGGATGGAAGGTTGGATGGAGGGGTGGATGGAAGGGAGGATGGAAGGTTGGATGGAGGGGTGGATGGAAGGGAGGATGGAAGGTTGGATGGAGGGGAGGATGGAAGGGAGGATGAGGATCAGTATGCACGTGGATGCTTCATGGATTTGGATTCAAGCGAAAGCGCAAGCGCAAACGCAGGGCACGCAAGCCTGATGGCTCTGAACTCAAGCCAGAGTGCATGTGCGGCTGCAGGGAACACAAGCTTCATGGCTCTGGATTCAAGCGAAAGCGCAAGCGCAAATGCAGGGAACACATGCTTGATGGCTCTGGACTCAAGCCAGAGTGCATGTGCGGCTGCAGCAGGGCTCCACGGAGCGGCATGGGCATGTGCATTTGCCACCCAACCAGCTTACCCTCCTTCTGTCAGCTGTGAACCGACCTGCAGGGGGGCTCAACCGACCTGCAGGGGGGCTCAACCGACCTGCAGGGGGGCTCAACCGACCTGCAGGGGGGCTCAACCGACCTGCAGGGGGGCTCAACCGAGCTGCAGGGGGGCTCAACCGAGCTGCAGGGGGGCTCAACCGAGCTGTGAAAGCACAGTTCTTCCTGACTTCACACTTCCTGACTTCACACTTCCTGGCGCCACACTTTCCCCCCCTGACGTTCCAGTAATTGCATATGACAAGAGCTTGCTGCTAGAGGAGGAATCGCTGACGGGAGGAGCAGGAGATCTGGCAGCGTTGACCGGAGGTGGTCCCGATGCTCCCAAACTGGCAGATGGAGAGTGTTTGCTGCTTGGAGATTCTCTAGGAGTTGCAGATGCTCTGAAACCGGCACCGGTCGTGGGAGGATCAGGTAATCTCGCAGAGCTAATTGCAGATGTTTTAGAGTTTCCGAATGGCTTCCTGGTTGGCTTCTCGAAGGGCCTTTCAAGTGGTCACCCCGAGAGGATGATGCTGCTACGTTCAGAAGACTATGGGTGTGCCGAGGACAGGAAGCTGGCTGGGGAGTCTGGAGAGGAAGGGGAGGAAGGGGAGAAGGGGAAGCAGGGAGGAGGAAAAGGGGTGCATGGGGATGCAGAGGAGTGGGATACGGTGCTGAGCCACATGCAGGAGGTAGCTGCCGCTGCATCTGTTGAGTCGGAGAATGTTGGGATTGACAGTTGGATGCTAGGGGATATAGTGGCACTTGATGGGATGACTCTACAGGGTGTGACTATGGAGGGTGTGTGTCCAAATGGTGTGACTGGAGGGCGCGGCTAAAAAGGGGGTCAATGCAGAGGCTGTGACAGAAGCAGGTGCCGCAAAGGATGATGGTAGAAACAGAGTGGCATTTGATGGGTTGACTTTACAGGGTGTGACTGTAAGGGGTGTGACTGTAGAGGGCGTGGCTCCAAATGGTGTGACTGTGGAGGGTGCGGCGCAACTTCAAAGGGTGTCAATGTACTGGGTGTGACAGCAGCACCAGAGGACAATGAAGCTTAGGAGTACACCAGCAATTGTTGCTGAACTTCTGTTAAAGATTTCCTATAGTAGTGATGACACTGCGTGGCAGCAGTAATTGCTCGCCTAGTTTCCTTTTCCTTCATTGAGCCCTGTTTTTATTATACCCCCCATCTCCCCATATATGATTCCCTCTTTCCCAGAAAATTGTATATTAGGTGCTGTTCATCAATGGATGGAGGCGGTAGTGAGAGGACAGACAGATATATATATGTATATATATATAATCGAATCCGTTGTCGGCAGTAACGGTCGAAACAGCAGTTGATCCTGTACTCGTTGCTGAGGTGCTTGGTCAAGAAAGCTGTAGTATGAACTTTACACTATGATAGTTTAACAACTTCCGCCCTAAGTGGATCACAATCCTTGTTCTATCTTGTCAGCACTGTGCATTGTACATGTCTTGTTGTTCATGTTCAACACTGTTTCTTGCCCATTCAGTAAGGGAAAATATGTCAATGGTAACTTACATGGGGAACTATAACGCGTACGATAACGATTTCAACGCGTTTGGTAACTCGCTTAACGCGTTTGGTAAGTCGCTTAACACGTTTGGTAACTCGCTTAACGCATTTGGTAACTCTACACTAGCAGCCCATCACGCGAATGGTAACTACATGAAATTCCCGCCGAAATTGAGCCTGATTCTGGTTTTTCCCGCTCGCGTCAGAATAAATTGACGAATCGTGAAGTAGAAACGTCTGACACACTCTCCGAGATTCTGACACGATTTCCGAAATTCTGACAAACTTTCCGAAATCCTGACACACTTTCCGATTTTCAACCCAGATAATTTCTAAAACGTAAGCGTTATGAAAACAGTTGTTCAGACATAAATAATATTTTGGCGCTTTTTCCGCAAACGTTTTGTACTTTATTCTATCGTGCAGCCGGGGCAAACAAATCTATATCCCTTTCAGATGGCAAATAAATTTGAGAGCAACAACCATGAATTTGAGAGCAACAACCCTAAACTTCTTGCAACCAGGCGTTTATGGATCTTTATTTAAAGAATGAAAGATGGAATTTTAAAAAGGTTTACTTTCCCCACATGCAAAAATTTTCCGACGTTGCATTATTAAAAAAAAGGTAAAATTCCCAATGTCCTTTCGGGAAATGTTTTTTTATCCTTTTGCAAGTCCGCAATCATGCTATCAAAAATATGATTTTGTCCATTTTTGTATGAGTTACCTATATATATAAAATGGCTCTGAAACTTTCTGGTCCGTGGTATGAAAACAAACGGGGTCCTTCAAATTCGCGGCGAGACTTGTTCACGAAAGATAATAATGTGCGTAAAAGCTCTCAAACTTTGATAAATTTCTTATTGTGAGGAAAATTTCAGCAGGAAATTCATGTAGTTACCATTCGCGTGATGGGCTGCTAGTGTAGAGTTACCAAATGCGTTAAGCGAGTTACCAAACGTGTTAAGCGACTTACCAAACGCGTTAAGCGAGTTACCAAATGCGTTGAAATCGTTACTGTACGCGTTATAGTTCCCCATGTAAGTTACCATTGACATATTTTCCCATTCAGTAACTAACCGGATCGAGCGGACTAAAATGAGAGAGCCGTAGCCCTTAAAGCGTGTTCAAAGTACTGCATCCCTCGACGTCGAGAGATGTCGGTGAATGTCAACCCTCGGATCTACGGTTCCAACCGTCAGGATTCACCGACATACTTCGACGTCGAGCTGGTGCAGTACTTTTAACACCCTTTTTTGCATTTGCAAATGGGTGCAGGTTTCCACCAGAGTGACTGTACATACACATGATGCCCAGCCGCTGCACGCGAATTTGGTCTTTCCTTTTAGAAAGCCTGCGCCCGGTTTTTTTCTATCAGCTAGTTGCACCTACGTTACAGACACCTCGCGCAAGCTGCAGTAGTTCTGAACCAATAGTATCGAAGAGACTGATGTCAAACTGGAGAGACAGAAGTCAAATTTCAACGGATAGGTTACAAATGTTTTTGATAAGCACAAACGAATCATTTTTTGCTAGCTGCGACTCGACGAAATCTCTGCCAGATGCAAGAACCTCTGCACAAGGTAACCATGGATGTTCCAAACAAAAAATCAGGTGTATTCAAACGAGCAGTGTTGGACTGTGGGACCCCAGGTGTGTCTGGAATGCGGTTTGTATTGTAGCATCATTGACATTTTGCTGGAGTGTTGACGATGTCCACTTACGGGCACATTTATGTTGACGGGAGTCGTACCACCGCTCATTGGCCCGCAGGGGAACGGAAAGCTGACCCAAAAAATCGCACAGCAGCACACACCAGGAGGACCCTTTCCTCCTTTTTATCTAAGCTGTCAGCCAATCGATGTTCTTGCACGTGGCACAAAAATCGCGTTCTCAAATGGGTAAGGAGGTCGTTCGCTGACTCCCGTCAACAACTGCTGGTTGACCTCGAACTCGGAGTGTAGGTGTCAACGAGTCGGCACGCAAAATGGGCCTGTGACGTGTGAAATTTGCCGTTGTGCGATGCTGCGCTGTAATCCTAGCATTGTGCGACTCGCTTACAAAAAGCACCCCTACCAAAAAGTACATTTTCCATTTTGCCTGCTCAAGTTGAGCGCAATCTAGGTACAATCCTCATGTCCAAATCTAGTCCGAGAGTTCCACTTGTATCCCAATATTCCAACAAGTACTACACCTGATGCCTGTTTGAGCCCCTCCCGGTTGCCTTACGAAGGGGGCGTATAAGCTGTCACGAGCATTTCGCATAAGTTTCGGCAATTCGCAGCTAGCTAAAAATGATTCGCATGTGCTTATAAACAAGATCTGTAACCTAGTTTGACTTCAGTCTCCTCTGCTTGACTTCGGTCTGTACCTAGTTTGACGTCGGTCTGTTCGTTACTACTGGTTGATAACCACGCGACGCGCTTGTAATGTAGGTGCATGAAGCTGGGGAAACAACCTCGGGTGCAGCGTATCCATCCGGCGCAAGGCAAATTCGCGTGCATGGGGTGAGCATCAGCTGTACTTGAAAAGGTAGTAAAATACCAGTTGAGCTTTTTGAAAGAAACCTTGCTGACCGCTAAAATGTGGATGTTATCGTGGACCTGATTCAAAGTCCACGCCTCAACAGAGTTTGTTGAGCTTATTTCGCGAGTGCAAGTGGACAAGAACTTGGAAAGTCGCTACAGCGCCAGGTCGTGGTCAACTCTTCCCGGAGAATATGGTCGCATCCACTATGACGACCAGCACAGTCCCAACACGTTCCAACACTACGACGAGCGTCGTACTCGCGATGCTCGAGAGAGTCCCCCATAGTTGCCTCACCCTTTTTGGCGTGTAAGTGTTTCTTGCATTTCGCGGAGGTTTCGTGATGTTGCAGCTAGCAAAAAGGGCTTATAGAAAACATTGTAACTACTCGTTGACTTTTTTACTTTGGTCCCTGCAAAATTCGACTTCAGTTCCTTCGTTACCATTGGTTCATAGCCATCCCAGATTGTTTGGGGAGCTTTTAAACAGGGTGCATCTTTCCGTCACCAATTGTTCGTGAGCAGGGTTTTGACAGCGATTAGTCACATTCATGCGCAGCAGTTGAGCATCGTGTGTAGCACAGCAAGGATGGCGGAAGGATACCAGCGGAGCCCCCCAGGGGGATACTGTACTTCAAGTTCAGTTGCCCGGCTGCAATTGGTGCCACACTTTTTTCACATGCGCGAGGCCCAATTCATCTGAGTGCGGTTCAATGAGGTGGATCACGTATTAGAGCGGTCATCTTAAGATCTAAAATGGTTGGGTAGATTACTTAGGGATAACGTGAGTTTGGGGCACTCCAAAGAACAACGGCGGCCCCAGCACATCATTATCCTCATTGGCTGGTAGATCGAGATGAGAGAGAGAGAAAAAAATGGATCTAGTCCGTGCCAAGGAAGTGGATGGGCCTTCTAGATCCCGTCCTTGAAGGGGGGGTGCGTCTTCAGACTGCTGGTGGGTGAGTCAGGAAGTTGTAAACAGGCTGTTTATTTAGAGAGATTATTGGAAATCTCGCATGTACTACTACTACTAGTAGTCTTTGTCTCCTCTCCTCTTCAGTCTTCAAATTGACGCTCCGAGCGTACGGCAAACTCCAGAAGAGCTAGCAATGGTTATGGACGATTCCCACCCAGCGAGCGGAGAGCATTCCGGCGAGGAATCCTCGTCGCACAAGCTGAATGACCACACTTCGGCGAGGCTGGGAGAAGAAGGTAATGCGGGCGTGCAGAACCTCTACGGATCTGACTCTGATTCGGGATTGAATGTCGCTCTCAAACAAGCGTTTCTCGCGCTCTCGAATCTTCTCACACACCTTTTGGCGGACAGGTTGCAAAAAGCAGATGGAAACCCTCATCTTCACAGCCAGCTGGAGGCTCCAGCTGCTTACAATAGCAGCCCCAACCCCACCTTGTCTGCTCCAACGCTTGGAGGTCCTGGGTTCGATTCCTGCTGCCAGATTTCAGCGCGAGGGAATAAAGAACATGGGCTGGAAACGGAGTTACTACTGAACCTTGCCCGTGTGGCAAGCATATTGACTCCACAGGTGCCACCAGTAGCAGCTACTAGTATTACCACTCAGAACCAAGTCCATTCTGCTGTAGATTGGCCGCAGGAGAGACGCAGACATAACGGACGGCGCAGATCGTTGAGATGTGTTTTCAACACTCCTGCTAACACTTATAGAGGAAGATCACGTCTCTCACAGGCAACTGAAAAGAAAGCACAAGCAGAGGCAGCAGCAGCAGCAGCAGCAGCAGGAACAGACTGCAGTGGAGGCGCAAGACCAGAAAACACAGCAGCAGCAGCAGCAGCAGCAGCAGCAGCAGCAGCAGCAGCAGCAGCAGCAGCAGCAGCAGCAGCAGCAGCAGCAGCAGCAGCAGCAGCAGCAGCAGCAGCAGCAGCAGCAGCAGCAGCAGCAGCAGCAGCAGCAGCAGCAGCAGAAGCAGAAGCAGCAGCAGCAGCAGCAGCAGCAGCGACAGCAGCAGCAGCAGCAGCAGCATCAGCAGCAGCAGCAGCAGCAGCAGCAGCAGCAGCAGCAGCAGCAGCAGCAGCAGCAGCAACAGCAACAGCAACAGCAACAACAACAGCAACAGCAACAGCAGCAGTGTAGGCAGCAGAAACGCAAGTCCCCACCTCTCTCTACTCCTTTCCCCAAATACCGCGGAGTGAGGCAGAGAAAGACAGGCCACTGGGTGGCAGAAATAGAGGACACAGCTAACAATGTGCGCAAGTGGCTCGGAACATTTTCCACTCCTGAAGCTGCTGCCCGCGCATTCGACCAAGCTGCCCGGGAGCTCCGCGGGCCCCGCGCAAAGACGAATTTTCCGCTGCCCGAGGAGCAGGCAGGCAGTGGTGGGGAGAGGGATTATGACAGGGAGAGGGCTGTTAGGAGAAGACCCTCCAAAGGAGTTGTGGATGTACGTTGGGGTTTTGATTCTGCTTGTGGTGATAAGAATGATGAAAAAGTGGGTGGGATGTGCAGTGGTGGTGAGGGTGGGGAAGGGTCGTCGTGCCCTAGAAATGATGCTCCTGTATGGGAAGGGTCCTGCAATGTCAGCATGAATGGGGCAGAATCAAAAGAGCCATATTCTGCGAGGAGTGTGGATGGGAAGGAGCAGGATAAGCGGGACCAGGAGGAGGACCGAGAAGAAGCCGAGGAGGGGAGTGCGAAGGGGATTGGGAAGGGCAATGATGGAGGGGAGGATGGAAGGGAGGATGGAAGGGAGGGCGAGGATCATTTTGCATGTGGATACTTCATGAATCTGATTTCAAGCGAAAGTGTGTGTGCGAATGCAGGGAACACATGCATGATGGCTCTCGACTCAAGAGAGAGTGCATGTGTGGCTGCAGGAGATCCCAACAGAGCAGCATGGGGATGTGCATTCGCAGAACCTGCTTACCCTTCTCCTGCCAGCTATAAGTTCACGGCTCATGGCTCCCAGCTTGCTGCCCCTGTTGCTCCGGAGATCGCTAGTGGGAGGCGTTTGCTGCAAGAGCAGGAGTTGGTGATGGGGGGAGCGGGAGATCTAGCAGCGTTGATTGGGGATGGAGGAGAGCCTTTGGTGCTTGGGGATACTCTGGTGGATACACGGGTCACGGCGGGGACAAGCAATCTGGCAGTGCTGATTGGGAACACCCCTGATGGTTCGGTGATGGCAGATGAGGCAGATGGAGAGCGCTTGCTGCGCGGGGATGCTCGGGAAGAGGGAGCGGTAGCGGGAGGAGCAAGCAACCTCGCAGTGCTGATTGGGGATGCTCTGGAAATCACAGAGGTTGAGCGTTTGGTGCTTGAAAATGCTTTGGGAGAGGCACGGATCGCGGGAGGAGCAAGAAATCTGGCAGCGTTGATTGGAGGAGATGGAGCACTGATCGCAAGAGGAGTAGATGATCGGGCAGAGCTGATTGGAGACGAGCATGAGCTACGATCCGAGAGGATGCCGCTACCCTCAGATGGGTTTGGGTGTGCCGGTGACAGGAAGCCGGCAGGGCAGTCCAGAGAGACAGGGGAGGAAGGGGAGCGTTGCGAGAATTCAATGAAGAAAGAAGAGGAAGGGATGCAAGAGGATGCAGAGGAGTGGAATGTGGTGCTGAGTCACATGCAGGAGGTTGCTGCTACTGCATCCTCAGAGTCGGGCAATGATGGGATGGACACTTGGATATTGGAGGACATAATGCCCCTTGATGGATGACTGCGGGGTATGATTATGGAGGGTGTGGCTCCTAATGGTGTGTCTATGGAGGGTGTGGCTCCAGAGGTTGTCACTGTGAACGCTGTGACAGCAAAGGGTGTGATTACAGAGGCTATGAGAGCAAGAACTGCAGAGGATGATGATGTGGAAAGCATTTGCTGCAAGAGCAGGAATTGGTGACAGGGGGAGCGGGAAATCTAGTAGCATTGATCCGGGATGCCCCTAATGCTCCAGAAATTGAAGTTGGAGAGCCTTTCTGCTTAGGGATTCTCTGGAAGAGTCACAGATCGCAGCAGGTGCAAAAAAACTGACTGTGCTGAGTGGGGATGCAGTGGAAATCACAGAGGGAGAGCCTTTGGTGCTCAGGAATGCCTTGGAAGAGACACGGGTCACGGCAGGAGCAAGCAAGCTGGCAACGCTGTTTCAAGACCCCCCTGCTGCTCCAGAGATCACAAAAAACCCTTTGCTTCTTCGGAATGTTCTGGAAGAGACACGGGTCACTGCAGGAGCAAGAAACATGGCAGTGCTGCTTCGGGATGCTCCTGCTGCTCCAGAGATCACACATCAGCCTCCGTTGCTGCTTCTTCCAGATGCTCTGGAAGAGATGCAGGTCATGGCAAACTCAAGCAACCTGGCAGGGCGGATTGGAGATGCTCTTGAAGAGGCACTGGTCGCAGGAGGAGCAGATGATTGATCAGAGCTGATTGTAGACGAGATTGGCTTTGCTAACGGCTTCCCCAATGGCTTCCCAAATGTCTTCTCAAACGGCTTCCCAAACGGCTTCCCGGGCTTTCTGAATGGCTTCCCAACTGGCTTCCCAACTGGCTTCCCAACTGGCTTCCCAACTGGCTTCCCAAATGTTCTTGAGAGGATGCCGCTACACTCAGATGGCTTTGGGTGTGCCGCGAACAGGAAGCCGGCAGGGCAATCTGGAGAGACAGGGGAGGAAGGGGAGCGTGGGGAGAAGTTTAGGAAGGAAGGGATGCAAGGGGATGCAGAGAAGTGGGATGCGATGCTGAGTCGCATCCAGGAGTTTTCTGCTGCTCCATCTACAGAGTCAGGCAATGCTGGGCTGGATGCTTGGATGCTGGAGGACCTAGTGCCGCTTGATGGGTTGACTCTAGAGGGAGTGATTGAGGAGGATGTGGCTCTATTGAGTGTGGCTTCAAAGGGGGTCAGTGTATAGGGTGTGACAGCAGCATGCGCTGCAGAGGATGATGCTGGAGTGCATTGTGGCTCTTGATGGGTTCACTCTAGAGGGTGTGACTGTAGATGGTGTGGCTCCGATGGGTGTCACTGTGCAGCAGGGTGTGACTATGGAGGGTGTGATTCCAGAGGGTGGGACTGTATAGGGTGTGATTCTAGATGGTGGGACTGTAGAGGGTGGAACTGTAGATGGTGCGCTCCAGAGGGTGACTTTCAAGGTTGTGACTACAGAGGGTGTGACGGGAGCAGGTGCTGCAGAGGGTGTGACAGTATCAGGTGCTGCAGAGGGTGTGACAGCAGCATGTGCAGCAGAGGGTGTCACAGTAGCAGGCGTTGCAGAGGATGAGGTTGTTCAGGAGTGAAGCAGCACTGGCTGCTATGGCAATAAGGGTGTTTGTGTGAAAGTCGCCTTGTTCTTGTACCCACATGCAAGTAAATCTGATTCGAGTCAGACTACCTAAAAAAAAAAAAAAAAAAAAAAAAAAAAAACAACAACAACAACAACAACAACAACAACAACAACAACAACAACAACAACAACAACAACAACAACAACAACAACAACAACAACAACAACAACAACAAAAACAACAACAACAACAACAATGGCGACAACGGCGACAACGGCGACAACGGCGACAACGGCGACAACGGCGACAACGGCGACAACGGCGACAACGGCGACAACGGCGACAACGACGACAACGACGACAACGACGACAACGACGACAACGACGACGACAACAACGACAACAACAACAACAACTACTACTACAACAACTACTACTGACTATGCAAGGCATTGCAAGCAGCACTAGCGGCATATTTAATAGGAATGTCAGGCACTAGTATATGTACGCCAAACATATTTGTAGTAGCTTATTCTACCCAATCTGTGTCGGAATCTCGAGCAGGAATAAATGAACTAGAAACAGTTGGGATACAAGTAGAAACCCTAGAATGAGTTGTACCCCATGTAAGCTACCCCACTACAGCCTACAAACATAGGCAAAGTGGGGGATAACAAGATCAACCAATGGTCACAAGACCTAGCAAGCAAGAGAACAAAGCAAAGCAAAGCTCAGGGTGGATCACAAAGTCACCACACAGTCTGAGCACAAGTAAGAGGCCATAAGGCCAGTTCACATGCAGAGTTATGAAGTGGCAAAACAAGCAGGTATAGAGAACAAGGCAAGAAGTAAGCAAGTGAGGCAGAGTAGGCACAAGGCCTAGAGAACTGTAGAAGCGCTGATGATCACCAGACACCAGTGCCTTGGTGAAATTATCAGCAGTGTTGGCCCGAGTTGTCACCTAAGCAAGACGAAGCTGACCACGCTGCTGCAACTCTCGTGCGAGGAAGTAACGCAGAGCGATATGCTTCGTTCTGTGCTCTAGTCTGTGCTCCTAACACAAGGCAATCATGGCCTTGTTGTCGACGTACAGAACTAGAGGAGAACGAGGCCGCTCTCCCAAGTCAGTCAGCAGGTAGGTCAGCCAGCGTAACTCCTGTGCAGCCATGGCCCCCGCGTAGATCTCAGCCTCACAACTGGAGCTGAGAACAGAAGACGAGCGGGTAGACCTCCAAGAAACTGAACCGGAGCCAAGGCTGAAAGTGTAACCCTGTGACGACCGCTGAGTCACCTGATCGTCTACCCAAGAAGCATCCGAGTGTCCAGTGAGTACAACTAGACCCCGTCCTTCAAGCACAAGCCCCACGCCCGACGTACTGCACAAGTAACGCAGCACCCTCTTAGCAGCCCGTCAGTGCTCTAGTCGGTGTCTCCCGGGCGCAACGTAGCGTGCCAGGATGCTGAGAGGGTACGCAAGGTTAGGTCGAGTGCAGGTCATCAGGTATATGAGGCAACCCACAAGCTCTGGATACTGACCACTCGGCTCTACGGACTCGTCCAAAGGTGGAGCTGAGAGCGAGTGGCCTGTAGGCAGAGGAGTGGATTGTGACAAAGAGAACTGGAAGCCGAAGCGCTGAAGGACCTGGTGCACCATGTGTGACTGAGTCAGAGTGATGGTGCGTCGTGCTTTGTCCAAAGTGATCTACAAGCCAAGATAGTTGCGCAGCTCATCAATGTCAGTGCAGGTGTGTCTCTTCTGCAGCTCTGACTTCACAAGGGCCAGTGCCTCAGTGTCAACAGTAGCAAAGACCAAGTCGTCGACATACACGAGGATGCAGAACGACGACAGAGAAGTGACGGTGCGTAGAAACAGTGAGGGGTCAGCGGTCGAAGGAGCAAACCCAAGAGCCGCAAGTGTTGTCCTCAGTGTGTCGTGCCACTCGCGGGGTGCCTGGCGGAGACCGTAATCTGGCCGCCGGAGGCTCCACTGGGTACCAGGCGGGAACGACCCAGTGACACCAGGTGGGCGACGTAACCAGATCTCCTCGTATAGGTTGCCCTGCGAGAAAGATGTGCTAAAGTCAAACGAGTGGAGCTAGTAGTCACGCTGTGCTGCAATGTGCAGGAAATTATGCAGGAAATTGGAAACCCAAATGTGGCTCAGTCGAACGGGCTATGGCTGGGTGGGAAAACGTACAGGCTGGAGGGGAATGACGCAGGTATCATTCACGACCGTTGGGAGTGCCTTGGAGAGGTACTGTACATGCATTTGCGTCCACTATGTTGAAATCCGTCTTGAGAATTCTCACAAGTTGTCACTACCCGGCACTAAAGCATTGAAACGGCTGCACACGCATTTGCTTCCGCTTAATTTCTGCGGCCTTTTTTTTGTTTCCTGAGTACAAGCAATACCATGTGGTTGGTTGCAGAGACTTGGCTGCTACATTAAGAAGATCGTTGGCGCAATTGTGATCGGCATATTCGAGAAACCTGTGCTTACGAGTGAAGCGGAAGTGGTTGTTGAGGGCTTGGCCAAATACCTGATGGATTAGGGTATCTAGGTTTCAGAGCCCTTGGGCAATCACCCAAACAACCAGTTTTACTAGGCTTTAGAGACCTGATGCTATCAGGCCACCAGGGTTACTATGGCAGGGTCACTCGATCTTGGAAACAAGTAATTTAACGCTTCTGATGTGTCGGAACATTGAATTGTAAACGAAACGAGTTACAACGAAGTAACGGTGAGTCAACCGAGGAGGTTGACAAAACGTAACAGCTGGAGGTTACGCGAAGGTCAAAGGTCAGCGACCTTTGACTCACCAAAATACAGAGCGACAGCAAGGACACACAACTGACTCGCTATTGAGCAGTTGCCCGAGTCGTGACTGTATCGAACCGCAACAGCAGCAGTTACAATTGCAGTTACAAATAAGCAATTAGTTAAACCTTTCGTATTCTCTTGTAATCATATAAAAGCTTGTATCTCTTTGCTTTAATCAATCTATCTTGCCCTCACACACCAGCGCAAGGTGGTTCAATATTTTGTCATTAAACGCTTCTGCGATTACAACATTCCTACCCAGGGTCTTAGCCTTGAAAAGATCCTAAGGGCCTTTTTAGCCCAACATGGTATGAGAGCTCACAAGGCAAGATCCAACTTCATCAACACTCCTACAACAACAGAAGGTATGGCAGCACAAAAGGAGAGAAGCTCCTCTCTCGGCACTACTCCTACTCCACCTCCAGCCTCTGGCCTACAGACAGAATAAGGCACGGCGACAAGACCAGCTGCTGAGTCTACTGAAACACCTGCGAACCAGGCAACCGGCTTCGATCCAAACATGATGGAGAAATTCTTCTCCTTCATGTCCTTCTACGAGCAGCACCAGTAAGCAGCACCTACGCAATCAAACAGACGGGGAAGCAGCGAGACAGTCTGTGAGAGAGTGTCCTGCAAGTCTGACCAGCCCGATCACCTGTGCGAATGACGTACGGGCAGCGGGCAGTACTCCTACACCCCCCACTCTGAGCGTACCACTCACAAAGCTGCTGGCGCGTAAGGGTCTCGCTCGGACGCCGCTGCAGCTGCATCTGGCCACCGCTAGGAACCCCGCACTGACCAGCTCCACCGCGACTGCCACGACGGCCGCCGCCAGCACACCACCTGGCGTACCACTCACGAAGCTGCTGGGGCGTAAGGGTCTCGCGCGGACGCCGCTGCAGCTGTATCTGACCACCGCCAGACACTCCCCACCGAACAGCTCCACAGCGACTGCTACTACGGCCGCCACCACTCCCACTGCTGCCACCACCGCCGTCACCACTCCCACCGCTACTACGAAGGGAAGTCATAGCGGGTAAGCGAGGAGGCGCACGAGCAGCAGCAACAGCAGTAGAGCGGCCCGGTGAGGCTAGGCTGCAGCACCTCCACCAGCAGCAGTAGTAGCACGAGCAGGAGGGCGGATCGGGTCGGATAGGGTGGCTCGGCTCGGCCTGGGCTGCGCGGGTAGCAGGCCCGCGCTGTGTAGGGCAGCAGGGCGCGACGCGCAGGGCAGCAGGGCGCGACGCGCGGGGCAGCAGCGCGCGACGCGCGGGCTGCCGTAGGGCGCGACGCGCGGGCCAGCAGCGCGCGACGCGCGGGCTGCCGTAGGGCGCAACGCGCGGGCTGCCGCAGGGCGCGACGCGCGGACTGCCGTAGGGTGCAACGCGCAGGGCAGCAGCGCGGGCGTAGGGCAAAGCGCTGGCGCAGGGCAGGGCGCTGGCGCAGGGCAGGGCGCTGGCGCAGGGCAGGGCGCTGGCGCAGGGCAGGGCGCCGGCGCAGGGCAGGGCGCCGGCGCAGGGCAGGGCGCTGGCGCAGGGCAGGGCGCTGGCGCAGGGCAGGGCGCTGGCGCAGGGCAGGGCGCTGGCGCAGGGCAGGGCGCCGGCGCAGGGCAGGGCGCTGGCGCAGGGCAGGGCGCTGGCGCAGGGCAGGGCAGGGCGTGCGCGGGGCAGCGCAACGCGGGGCAGCAACAGGCAGCACGAAGGCTGCAGGACGGCGCGCAGCGTAGCACGTCACGGAGGCTAGGCAGGGCGCGCGCGGGCGGCGCAACGCAGGCAAAGCAGGGCGCGCGCGGGTGGCGCAGCGCAGTCAAGACGTGGGGCAGCTCAGAAACCGCAACGGTAGGTGGGCCCGAAAAAAAAAAAAACGGTCCTACGGACTTATTGCTCAGAAACCATGTCAGAAACTACAGGCAGGAATGAATGAACTAGATGAAAGTTGGGTACAAGTATGAAACCCTAAAGGGGCTATACCCCATATCAGCTACCCCACTACAGCCTACACATATAGAATGCATATATAGATTGACACCTATCGCTACACCGACGGAAATCGTAAGGAAGCCTCCGCTCTGCTCAAACGCGCCGGCATACGCGACTACCAACGAAAGCAGGGATGTCTGCTCTTCGCTGTTGTTACCTGCCGGCCGGACCTATCGTACTCGACGAGCCAACTCGCCACCTACGTCAAGAAGCCTGAAGCAGATCATATGGCCGAGCTCGATTGCGCTCGCCACTACCTCATCAGCACCCCGACGATCGGTCTAACCTACCATAAAAGCGGAACCTCGACACCTAAGCTAATCGGCTATGTAGACGCCAACCACGCCAGCGATTCCGACAACAGACGATCGCGCACCAACTACATTTACCGACTCGAACCTATTGGGCCTATCTCATGGCAGTCGAGCAAGCAAGAGCTAATTGCTCTCTCCTCAGCCGAAGCAGAATACATCGCACTCTGCTCAGCCACCAAGGAAGGACTGTACCTTCGCGAACTGCTGGAAGAAGCAAGGTTGGCCCAGTTACCCAACTTCTCCCTCTTCTGCGACAATCAGTCGGCAATTCGCATAGCAAACAAGAGCGGATTCGCAAACCGGACAAAGCACATCGCTCTGCGGTACTTCTTCGTGAAGGACGAGATCGAGAAAGGAAGACTCGAACTATCATACTGCCCCACGTCCGAGAAGGCAGCAAATTACTTGACCACGAAATTCGAAAAGCAGAAGTTAGAGTACTGCATGTTGCTGACTGGACAAGGCCACGTCACCAGCAACGACACTCCAGAAGCGAAGGGGAGTGTTGGAAACAAGTAATTTAACGCTTCTGATGTGTCGGAACATCGAACTGTAAACGAAGCGAGTTACAACGAAGCAACGGCGAGTCAACCGAGGAGGTTGACAAAACGTAACAGCTGGAGGTTACGCGAAGGTCAAAGGTCAGCGACCTTTGACTCGCCGGAATACAGCGCGACAGCAAGGACACACAACTGACTCGCTATTGAGCAGTTGCCCGAGTCGTGACTGTATCGAACCGCAACAGCAGCAGTTACAATTGCAGTTACAAATAAGCAGTTAGTTAAACCTTCCGTATTCTCTTGTAATAATATAAAAGCTTGTATCTCTTTGCTTTAATCAATCTATCTTGCCCCCACGCACCAGCGCAATGTGGTTCAATATTTTGTCATTAAACGCTTCCGCAATTACAACATTCATACCCAGGGTCTTAGCCTTGAAAAGAACCTAAGGGTCTTTTTAGCCCAACATTGTGGAGTAGGGTCATGTGTGTGCTGCACTGCCCGAACCGAAAGCCAAGAGTTTTTCATATTTTGTCAAAGCATTTGTTGTTGCTTTGCTCTGGCTGCTGATGTAATGAGAACAGTGCTTTTTGGCAATAACACTAACGTTTACTCAATCTTGCCAAACACAAATCCCCTAGATGATAATCTCTGGCCTCACATTCCCAAAATGGCAGTCCAAGACATCTCAAGTTTGTATCTCGCACCTGTACGCTGACCAAGGCCCTGAAACATTTGTAGTATGTACCGTAGTTAACATTTCATCCCCCCGCTCGTCATCAGTACAATCTCCCTACATCACATCTATTTGTGTCACATCTTTGCCAATCACAAATCGCGCATTTCCTCTTTGTCCGCCTTCCCCTCCATAGCCTCTATTCCTCCCCCAGCCATCCCCTCCAGCTTCCCGCCCTTCCCACCCTCCACCCCCTCAACCCCTACCTCCCCCTCCCCCTCCACCCCCTCCATCTCATCACTCTCTTCCGCTCCCCCTCCCCCCTCTTCCTCCCCCTCCCCTTCGTGCCCCCCTTCCGCCCCTTCCCCATTTTCCTCCCCTCCTTCCCCCTCCCCACTCCCATCCACCACCTCATTGTCCTGTTCGAACCACTCGGGTTCAAACCCCTCGAACTCAAACCCCTCACCGTCAGGACCAACCTTACTCCAATCCACCCCCCTCTTCTCCATCTCCTCTACAAACCCTTTCATTATATCCGCCATCATTGCCCCCGCGTAATCATCCCCTCCCTTTCCCCCCTCCTCCTCCTCCCCAGTCCCCTCTGCACCCCCCTCTACCCCCCCATCCGCCGTCCCCACATCTACCTCCCTGCGATCGTCGTCAGATAACACCTCCCCCATGACAAACTCGAGTTTCCTGGCCGTGGCAAGCTCCTTGCTGATCCACGATTCGATCATGCGCTGCAATGGGGGGAAGATGTTGGGAAGAGGAGAGAGGTGGGGGAGAAGGGGGGAAGGTCTGGCGGAGTGGAAAGAGGAGCAAGGAACTTTTATCTTCTTGGCTGTGGCAAGCTCCTTGCTGATCCACGATTCGATCATGCGCTGCAATGGGGGGGAGAGGTGGCGGAGAGGAGGGAGGTGGGGGAGAGGAGGGAGGTGGGGGAGAGGAGGGAGGTGGGGGAGAGGAGGGAGGTGGGGGGGATTGGGGGTTTCTGACGGACTGGAAAGAGGAGCGAGGAGCTTTGATGTTCCTGGCCGTGGCAAGATGCTTGCTGATCCACGTTAAGATCATGTGCTGCAAGGGTGGCGCAGGGGATGAGGGGCTGAGGAGAAAAAAGGCCGGGCGGTGTGGCGAGTGGGAGAGTTGGGGGAAGAGTTGTGAAAGGGGGGAAGAACGGACGAAAGTACAAGAAGCTTGATTTTTCTGGCTGTGGCACGGTGCTTGCTATTCCACACCAGTATCAAGCGTTGTGGGGTGGATCGTGGAGGGGGGGTGGAGAAGGAATGCATTGAAGGGAACCGGAGACAGTATCTGGGCTGATGGCATTGTTCCTGGAACCTCACCTGGGAGTTAAGCGGCTGATTAATTTAGGCGCATCAAGAGAAGATTTTTGAGGCGCCTCACGAGAAGGAGAGCATTGAAGAGAACCAGAGACAGTATCTTGGCTGATGACATTGTTCCTGGAATCTCACCTGGGAGTAAAGCGGCTGATCAGCAGGCACCCCGTGCCTTGCCCTATGCAGCACAGCATAAGTAGCCATGCGAAGCCCCAAATTTTCACTCCGCCTCTGTACTCATTATAAGACGCCTCAGAACAGTTACTAGCAGCTCACCTGCGAGTTCAGAGGCTGGTCCGCAGGAACCCCGTGCCCCGCTCCATGCAACACCACAGGAGTCAGCATGTCATGCTCCCGCCATTACCCCACAACCTCGCTGTCTTCTTTATAAGGTGACACACAACATCCACTAGCAGCTCACCTGCGAGTTGAGGGGCTGGTCAGCAGGCACCTCGTGCCCTGCTCCGTGCAACACCACGTGAGTCAACGTGTCATGCTCCCGCCAGTATCACACAACCTCGCCGTCCTCTTTAGAAGGTACCGCACAACATGTACTAACAGCTCACCTGCGAGCTCAGAGGCTGGTGAGCGAACACCTCAAACCCGGTTCCATGCAGCGCAACATGCGTCACCATGTCATGCTCCCCCCCACAACCTCGCCGTCCTCTTTATGAGGAACCTCACAACAACTATTATCAACTCACCTGGGAGTTCAGAGGCTGGTCAGCAGGCACCTCGTGCCCTGCTCCGTGCAACACCACGTGAGTCAACGTGTCATGCTCCCGCCAGTACCCCGCCACCTCCCCCTCCACCTCCCACAACCACCTCTCCACCGCCCAGAACCGCTCCCTACCCTTCCACTCCATCTCCCCCATCCACTCCAATGAGCACGCAGCCCCGTCTTTAATGTCGTATATCCCCTGGTATAGCAGAACCGGGACGCGATGTAAGAGCCCTTCCAACTGGTGCATAGTGGATTTCATAGTGTCGTTGGACATATGCTTGCGCACGCGAGGACTGCAGGAGACCCAGGTGGTGGCCGCGTCGGCTTTAAGGACGTCTTTAATCTCCGGGCGGTTGAGGTATAGAGCAAGGTACTCTTGCTTGTCCTTGTTGTGGTGGTAGGCGCGGGTTCGTCGGATGTCCAAGGGAGTTGCTATGCCACTCACGTTCTGTGAATGAGGGAAGGGCACAGAAGAAGCGGAGGGGTTGGAGGGGTGGGGGTGAGGATCATTTGAAATCATTTTGAAAGACATGGCGTGAGATGGAGAGGAGTGGGACGGAGGGCTAAGGACCGGGGTTTAAGGTTGAAATCGACTCTAAACCTTAGAAGATCCAGAACCCTCCATGGAAAGAATATCTTCACAGACGGTCCAGCGCCATCTGCAGCTGCTCGAATTATCTTTTGGCCAACATTTCTCACGACCTGAATCCAGTTGACAATGCTAGTCCGCCCTTGGATCGCCTCCTTTCATTCTTCCTTGTGAGCTTTGAGACTTCCCGAACAAGAATCTCTCTCCCGAACAAGAATCTCTCTCCCTACCTAATCTCTCTCCCTACCTGAATCTCTCTCCCTACCTGAATCTCTCTCCCTACCTGAATCTCTCTCCCTACCTGAATCTCTCTCCCTACCTGAATCTCTCTCCCTACCTGAATCTCTCTCCCTACCTGAATCTCTCTCCCTACCTGAATCTCTCTCCCTACCTGAATCTCTCTCCCTACCTGAATCCAGTTGACAAGGTTCGTCCGTTCTTGGAAAGCCTCCTGCCATTCCTCATTGTCAATATGCGCCACGACGCGTTCCGCCCACTCCTTGGCCCTCTCCCGCTGCTGCTGATCCAGCAATCCAGCGCTGTACGCGATATCCGCATGCGCCTGCACCTGCGTACGCGGATGCGTCAATCCGTTACCAATTATAAGCCCGTCCAACCGGAATGGATGCCTGAACCCGCCCTCGCCGTCGCGTTTGAATTTCAGACGCTGACGTAACTGCTGCTGCGCCAAGTCCAATTTCCCCGCAAGGAAAGAGCCTAAAGCGGGGACGTACTTTCCAGCGTAACTCTCCCCTGCCAAAAAGAACGGCCTTTGGCGAAATGGCGGGAAAAGATTGAAGAATGATCGGAGCGCGGTGTACAGATCCTTCGCTACGTCATCCTGATCCAGAGGAATATCCGCATCTGAAGGTGCTACGCTAAAGCCCGTACCAACGGGGTTGTCTATAAAAAGAACACCATAGCGACGGTTCCAGGGGGCGGGGTTGGGTTCGATATTGAGCGACTCAGTGATTCGATAAGGGCCTAGCTCGTAGAAATTTCCGATCATGCTCGAACAACCCGGGCCGCCTTGAAGCCAGAGGATGATTGGCGTATCGGATTGAGCCGTATCCGGCTCGGTTGCCTCGTAGTATGCGAAGTACATCTTCGCACCCGTGGTTTCGTTAACGATCAGATAACCCGACGCAGTAGGCAGCGCTTTTCTCGGGAACGGTGCCCCGCTCGGAAAAACGGCCTCAGCTTCCTTAGTGAGTTCTTCACTTTTGGTGTAAGACGCGGACGGTATCCCAATCAACATGAACCAAGATAGCATCCTGAGGACGGGAAAAATCGTAAAAGGCCTATCCATGGCTGATCGCATGATCGATCCTAGCATCCTACCCATGACCGATGATTGCATGATCTGTCCTTGCATGTCATAAACGGCTGACTTGCTTTAAACCACGACCACGCTCAACTAGGAGCAGAGGAACTAAGACGCAGCAGGCGACGAGGAACGACGAACAGACGAGAAAATACGAGGTACAGATGACCTGAAATAACATATATAGATACGCTCCAGCGAACCTCCTAGAAGCTTTCAGGAGCGAGATCGTGTGGCTCGTACGTCGTAAGTCTAGATCGAGCCTCGGCTGGTGGACGGTCGAATCCATCATGTGACGCCTCGAGATTCCCGCGACGCGTGCACTTCTGGGGCTCGGGGAATTTTCCTGGTCGTCAGCATCACGAATGCTGGATACTGCTGCTGGTGGTGATCTGTCTGTCGGTGCCGTGAGCTTGTCACGCCCTGACGGAAGGTGGGCTGACGTGACGTGGCACCTAGGAGCTGAAGAGTATTTCTCCGAGAGGGCAGAGCTTACTTTTTCGCGGGAAAGTAATCTCAAGAGGAATATTCGCTTGGCTGCAGCAATGAGATCCCTCCTCCGCGACTCGCGAGGAGCAAGAATGTTCCACAAATAATGTAGCCAAGGTGTAACAGCCTGAAATACTTGCTGAAAAAACTAGTGTACTCATTCCGACACATTAATATGAAAACGAGCTGAACCAGCCTGTCAGTGTACGCCACAGAAGCACAAACAGTAGCTAGATAGCTATTGGATGAGACACTGTACATTTTTTTACATTCGTTGAGGCTTAGAGCAGCTAGCCGAAAGAGTACTCCACAACAACAGTTATGTCCCTAGTGACGTTGCCTCGGGTATTGATTGTCCCTTACCTTCTCAGGTGCAACAGTACCATGACACACAAGCACCGCACACCGTAGGCCATTTTCCCCAGCACCTACGCTCCTTCCAAAATCATCATCCCTGAGCCGCGTGAAGGGATTCCCACCTAAAGAGAAGAACTACCCACAGGTACATAACACACTCCCACCAGACCCCCATCCCTGAGCCGTGTGGTGCTCGTAACCACATCCTTCATCCTTCTCTTACAGACCACCAAGCAGCAACATTTCAACAGTGTGAGGAATACCGTAACTCATTCCACCTACAGCTCCTCCACACAGCGCACCTCCACCAGATCCCCACCTCTAAGCCGTGCTCTGGGATCCATGCCACGGGATTCCCCTTCACAAAGATAGCCTCCTCTCCTCTGCTGGGCACAGCAGCAGCATTTCTACTGTAAAAAGAAGCCATCTCATCTCACCTACAGCTCCTCCGTACAGCGCACCTCCACCAGATCTCCATCCCAGCGCCGCATGGTGGGAAGCACTGGCTTCTTCTGATTAACCCACCATCCGCAACAACATCAGCCTCCTCGCTAAACGTCCTCCTCACAGCGCACCTTCACCAGATCCCCATCCCTGAGAGGCATGTTGCTGTTCCCCCTGTCCCTTCCACCTGTTGTTCCTCCATCACTCACAGGTCCTCCTCACAGCGCACCTCCACCAGATCTCCATCCCTAAGCCGTGTGCTGGGATCCACCGGCTTCCCGTTCACAAAGATAGCCTCCACTGCTGGACACAGCAGTGAAGCGACAGCATCACCCACCTCATCACCACCTTCCCAACTCCCACCACTGCTGCTGCTGCCACTGCCACCATTACTGCTGCTCCTGCTGCTGCTGCTGCTGCTCCTGTTGCTGTTCCCCCTGTCCCTTCTACCCAGCCCAGCCCCAGAAGCGTCTTCATACCCCCGGGTCCCACTAACCGCTCTAGTGCCCGAGGCAGAGGGAGTGGCGGTGGTGGGGGAGAGGGAGAGGCGGAGCCCGTCAGAGGAGATGACGGCGGCCGCTGCTGCTGCGTCTCCCGTGGCTGCTTTGGCTCGCAGGCGAGCGAAATCCCCTGCCAGGCTGCCTGCTGGCATGCGCACTATCTCACCACCTGTAGGAATGGGCAAGGGAGGAAGGGGTGGAATACGAGAAGACACTGCTAGCTTGAGCAACCAGCAGCTTCAGCTGCTGCTGCTGCTGCTGCTGCTGTGCTCCCCGTGGCTGCCTTGGCTTGCAGGCGAGCGAGATCCCCTGCCAGACTGCCTGCTGGCATGCGCACTATCTCAACCCCTGCAGGAGCAGGCAAGGGAGGAAGGGATGGAACATGAAAGAACATTGCTTGAGTATACCAACTGCAGCTGCTGCTGCTGCATCCCCTGTGGCCGCCTTGGCTCGCAGGCGAGCAAAGTCCCCTGCCAGACTGCCCGCTGGCATGCGCACCTATTTCACCCCCTGCAGGAGCGGGCAAGCGAAGGATTGGCGGATGGGAGAACTTTCTTGAAAATGAACCATTGCGTCCCGGTCAGGTTTTCTGCCGGGACCAGGCAGGCGTTTCAAACAGTAGATTTAATCAGCCACAATGTTGACTCATAATGGGTTCTTACCCGGCCAGCTTATAACGAGTACTTCACTGAGAGCAACAGCGTCCACTAAGCTGTCTTGTCCTGTTCCCTGCCGCTCCTCTCGCATCTCATCCCCCTCCCCCCCACTGCTCCCACTGCCGCTGCCGCCACCACCACTGCTGCCGAAGCTGTTGCTGCTACCGCTGCTGCCGAAGCTGCTGCTACCGCTGCTATCTATGCCCAGACCAGCCAGGGTGCCATCCGGTGCTGCCTCGTGCCGAACCTCCCGCTCCCATTGCAGCATGGACCGGAGAAGCCGAACCTGTGAAACACGTCCGGTACAATCGCAAGAAACGGGCACGGATAGCAAGGATACCAGGCGTTGGATAAGGGAGATGAGGAGATGAGGAGAAGACTAGAGAGAGATAAGCAAGGCGCAGACTTAAATCCCACCTCGTTGTTGATGTGAGGTTGAGAGAGAAAATAAATAATCAGACTGAAACGCCCACGCTACTGATGTGAGGTTCGAGAGATAAGCAAGGAGCAGACTTAAAGCCCACCTTGTTGTTGATTCTGTTGACTTTTGAGTTGACTCAAAAGTCAATTGAACGAGCAATGCAGGGAGAAGAGACTTAAAGCCCACCTTGTTGTTGATTCGTGCAGCAGACGAGAGTCGGGCCTCTTTTGGTGCGTCCTTTCCCTCAACCACACTGTCACCATTCAAGCTGCTGCTGCTGCTGCTGCTGCTGCCGTTACCGCTGGTATCACTGTCCATGTAGCTCTCCCCACCTGTGTTCGTGGCAGCACCAGCACCACCAACAGCATCAGCAGCAGCAGCAGCAGCAGCAGAAGCAGAAATGCTGGTTGGAAATTCCACCCATGGTTCGACGCCAACACTGGCATCTACACCATCAATCCTCCCCTCTCCCTCTCGCCTCCTCATCTGCTCCCTCTCTCGCTCCCTTTCTCGTTCTCTCGCCATCAAATCCCTCTCCTCCGCCCCTCTCGTCCATCCCCATATCCTCCCAAGCCCCCACTTCCACATCCCTCTCCCTCCCCCATCCATCCTCTCCTCCTCACTCCCCTCCTCTCCCCCCCACCTCTCCTCCTCCCCACCCTCTCCCTCCCCCAACCCTCCAATCCCCGCCGCTGCCAACCCCTCTATAAGCGCCACCGCTACAGTGTTTTCATAATCTACACTTTCTTCGTCAGAAAGCTCTAAAAGCTGTATAAAAGTGGACTGCGCACGGCCGAATTGGTCCACTTTATGGAATATCCCATCACTGCATAACGAGTATTTCTCCAAAACGGTGCTCCAGTCCCCATGCCCAGGCGAATTCCACCAAGTATCCTTCACCCGCGCAAAAAGACGAACGTTCGCCGCCCACCGTTTCCCCTGCAGCCCGCTCCGGGCAGCCATGAGAGAATCTCGGGCAGGCAGGGAAAAACTCGACGCGACAAGAAGAGTACTACCAGAATTCTCCGAACTAACCACCACAGAGGTTAGCAACTTCCCATCTTCTACCCTCAGTGCGGGATGCCCCTCCAATATCACCTTCCCATTGGGTAGTTGCATCTTAGCAAGCCGAGAAACTGACTTTTCCTGAACACCCTCTGCTGTCTCCCCCTCTCCTTCCTCCTCCAAATCACCCTCCACCTGATCCACCTCCCCCACATCAGACAAAATGGCTTCAGCCGGGGGTACAGTAGCCACGGGCACCACACCTGCATCCACCACCAGGGCTGCACCAGGCTCGAACCGAGCCTCCGAGCCTGTGCTGGTTCGGAGCGTTTCCGTGGCTGTTTGATCTGGTTCGGATGATGAGGTGAGGCCTGTATGGGGCAGTGAGGATGGGAAGGCTGGTGCTGGTGCTGCTGGTGGTATTGATGATGCTGCTGGGGTGGCTGCTGGTGATGGTGCAGAAGCTGCTGATTCTGATGGTGATGGTGATGGTGATGGTGATGGTGATGGTGATGGTGATGGTGATGGTGATGATATAGTTTTTACGGCAGCATCTACAGTAGGAAAATCAGCATCGGACTGGCTCTGCTGAATATATCGTACCTCCTCCTCCTCCTGCTCCTGCTGCTGCTGCTGCTGCTGTTGCCATCTCCCCTTCCAAACCACCGGACCCCACTGCCACTGCTGCAGCATCTGTGCGCTCACTGCTGCTGCTGCTGCTGATTACCCTGCTGCTACCAGCCATCCTCCCTTGCAGGCTTCTGTTGCTCTGAGTCCCTCCCCTAGAGCTCCCTTGAGAAATCTCTGTACTCCCACTGTTGCTTCTATTGCTCTGCGTCCCCCCTTTGAAACTCCTTCCAACAATCTCCCCGCTTCCACTGTTGCTCCTGTTGCTCTGTGTCCCACCCCTAGAACTTACACTCCCCCTGTTGCTCATCGTTCCCCCTTTCGAGCCACTCCCAGGCATACCGCTGCTGGCAAGGCCCTCAAATGGCTGGTTCTCGAAATCCGTGGCTGAAAACGGCTGAAACTTGCCTGTTACCCGCCTCCTCTCCCCACCGCTGCTGGTTCCGCTAC